TTGGAGCCCAGGAAAATAAAATCTGTCACTACCTCCATGTCTTCCCCATCTATTTGCCAGGAAGTGAGAGGACCGGATGCCATGATCTTAGTTTTCTTAATGTTGAGTTTCAAGCCAACTTTTGTGCTCTCCTCCTTCACCCACATCAAGAGGCTCTTTAGTTCCTCTTCACTTTCTGCCATTAGAGTGGTATCATCTGCATATCTGAGGTTGTTATTTCTCCCAACAATCTTAATTCCAACAGATGATTCATCTAGCCCTGCCTTTCGCATGCTGTGCTGTGCATACAAGTTACATAGGCAGGGTGACAATATACAGCCTTGCCGAATTCCTTTCTCAATTTTGAACCATTCAGTGGTTCCGTGTCCAGTTCTCACTGTTGCTTCTTGACCCGCGTATAGGTTTCTCAAGAGACAAATAAGATGGTCTGGTACTCAGAACTTGCGACAATGTGTTGTGATCCACACAATCAAAGGCTTTAGCATAGTCAATGAAGCAGAAGTAGATGTTTTTCTGGAACTCCCTAGCTTTCTCCATGATCCAGCGTATGTTGGCAATTTGATCTCTAGTTCCTCTCTCTCTTTGAAATCCTGCCTGTACTTCTGGTAGTTATCGGTCCACATACTGCTGGAGCCTAGCTTGTAGGATTTTGAGCATAACTTTGCTAGCATGTGAAATGAGTGCAATGGTGCGGTAGTTTGAACATTCTTTGGCATTGCCCTTCTTTGGAAACAGAATGTAAACTGACATTTTCCAATCCTGCGGCCCTGTAGAGTTTTCCAAATTAGCTGGCATATTGAGTGTAGCACTTTTACTGCATCGTCTTTAAGATTTTGAATAGCTCAGCTGGAATACTGTCGCCTCCACTAGCTTTGTTGTTGCTCAGACTTCCTAAGGCCCATTTGACTTCACATTCCAGGATGTCTGGCTCGAGGTCAGTAACCACCCCATCGTGGTTATCAGGAACGTTAAGCTCTTTCTTGTGCAGTTCTTTTGTGTAATCTTGCCACCTCTTCTTAATCTTTTCTGCCTCTGTTAGGTCCCTGCCATTTTGGTCCTTTATCATGCCCATCTTTGCATGAAACGTTCCCTTCATATCCCCAATTTTCTTGAAGAGATCTCTGGTCTTCCCTATTCTACTGTTTTCTTCTATTTCTTTGCCCTGTCTTTGCTGGTTACTCACATGTAAAATTTTATATATGGAAGCGCATGGTTCAGCAAGCACAGTAAATAACTGTCTTGGTTCCTTTTTGTGTCTGGCTCTGGTTGCACACCTTGGGTTTTCAAAAAAAAAAAAAAAAACCCCTACCAGTCCGAAATGTGCCTGCCCTGTTTCACCCAGGTCTGCTCTGGATGACTGGGGTCAATGGAGAACACACCACTGGGGCTGCAGATGTGGTGGAAACGGGCAATGCTCTCCATTCCTCTACTTCTCAAGGAATGCACCTTCTAGCAAAAAAGAAGCCAGATCCAACCCACTGACTTTCTATTGCAACGAGTGTTTATTCTGGGCCATTTAGTTTTGTTATTTATGTATTTATTCACCTGCCTTTTTGCTTCTTACAAGGAAACTGAGGTGGCTTACATGGTGGTGCTCCATTCCATTTTATCCTCACAACAACCATGGAGAGCTGGAGTAGGTGACTGGCTCAAAGACTCCCAGTGAGATTGGCTTCATAGCCAAGCAGAGACTAGAATCTAGATCTCCCAAGTCCCACCTCAATGCTCTAACCATACTGCGCACCATAATTTGGCTGCCCTTTCCCCACCATTCTGTTGACAAGTTATGAAACATTCCCAAGATTTATTAACTAAGCATGTAGAAATTTTTATTTTGTATATTCCTTTTGTTACTAAAGTTCAGAATGTGTTGGGCGTAAAATTATATGCTGCCTGTGCACGTGGAAGTTTTCTTCCTTCCCTTCCGTGCAGGTGATGCCTTCCCACTTTCCTTTAGTGGCCAGCTGACCCAATTCCTCACCTTAGAATTCTTTTCAGGCAGTGGGTTCAAAAGAGAGTTTTAATAAAATAAAAATAAGACAATCCCATTTGAAATACAGAAAAATGAGTAAAAGTTATTAAAGTGTGCTATATTCACATTTGTCCATCTCTTTATTCCAGTATTTTGGGAAGTCCTGCACCAGTGAAACTGGGCCTAGTTTTGACACTACAGGTGTGAGCACAAAGCTATTATTTGTTAATCAAAACTCCTCTAGCATGTCTTCCATTACGAGTGAAAAGTACCTACCTACCTTAGATAAAAAGTACTTACCTAGGTTCACATGAGGGACAGCACACTTTTAAGACTTTTATGATTAAAGCTGCTCCAACCACTCCAACCACAATGACCTCCATAAGATTAAAGAACACTGGGAAGGAGTTAAGCCAGAGTCTGCAAAGCTCTTTCCTCAGTTCTTCCACCCACTGGCACATTACCTGAAATGTCAATGAAATCCCTGAGATTCTGAGCCTCACAGAAGGCAGCATGTTACTATTTGACACAATACAGTCTGTGAACCTTTTGCTGTAGGCCAAATGCCCAAACCCAATGATTTTTAGATCTCAGTCATTACTTGTTTACTGACAAATAAACCATAAATTTTGGGTATGTTTTCCGCCAAATGAAGTATCTCTAAGTTCCACTGAAAACTTAAAAAGAGGCCCAGTGGATCAAGCCATTAGTCCATCTGGGCCAGCACTAGCTGGCTAGATGCATCTGCGAAGTCAAAAGGCAGACTACAATGCATCCGATATTCAAAAGTATACTGCTTTTGATCAGACACTTGCATTCTAAGAAAAGCCAAAAGAGGGGGAAGTTCATGGAAGGAGTATTTTCTGTTCCCACCTATCCCTGCCATCAGCTTGAAATTCCCCAAAATGTTTTTCCTTGAATGCTTTCGCTGCTTACCTTATCAACTTGCACATTTCATGAAACTTTGTGCTGTGTGTGTTCTCTTGCATTTATTTACACCCTGAATCCACTGCATGGATTTTATCTCCTTTATTATAGCAATTTAAAGTAACCCCCAAGTGCCCAGATGGGCTTTCTAACCTCTTTTAATAATCCTAGTTGAAGGATTATTTTGTGCTTGGAAATTTCTTCTTCTGAAATTAAAAGAGACTTTCTGGACAACATATCAATTGAAATAAATTCAAATTCTCAAATATTTGGAAACAATTATCTCTAAATTAAGGGTCATATCCTTTCTTGTTGACTTCACATGTGTTTTGAGTGATGAACTTCATGGCAAAATAGTTTGTATCTTTGTTTTGATCTGGTTATACAATGATCCAAAGTGAGATTAGCTGACGTTGCCCATTATCACAATAATTTATCTTTTGTCAACTACCCCATCTCTTTTCTTTTCCTTTAGATTATCATCAGGTTTGGTCAAGAGAGTGACAACATGTCCACAATACAATATCAATTTTTGCTATTTAATATTGTTATTTTGATATTAAATATTAATTTAAATATTAATATTTTAATATTGCTATTTCTACCAATAGTACTTGCTGGATTAAACTTCTGATGGGTTTCACTTTATAGCACACAGTGCTCTCTTTGACACAGACCAGTACCAGTGCCAGTGTGACTTACCCTGTCCTTTCCTTGGATCTTATATTCTGTGCAGTGGCTAACCAGTTCATTATATTTCCGTATGTTTTTCCTAGTTCCAGACACTTTCACCTTGTTCTTTTGCTTTTATCCCTCTACAATTAACATTTGCCCCAGGAAAAAGGCCATATCCACAGTTTATTTTACACACACACACACGTATGTGGATATGTAAGTATGTGGGGATATACATATATTTTGTTCATATACCTTGGCCACTGGATTGCCTTTCCATTTCCTGTTCATGTTTATTTATTATGTTACTGTTGTATCTCATCCTTCTTCCAAAGGGTGCCATAGGGGCATACCTGCTCCTCTTCTCTAGTGTATCAACCCTGTGAGGTAGGCTGAGACAATGACTTGCCCAACACCACCCAATGAGCCCCATGGCCTAGTGGGAACGCAAACCCAGCTCTCCTGGGTTCCAGTCCAACATTCTAAGCACCACACCACAGAGTTGTATTATCATCGATCCTAGCTTATCCTGTCTTTGGCTCGTGAGAAAAACAATGAGATCATCATCCTTAAGCCTCGATCCATTGTTCCCCTCACAAGTTACATAAAAGCCTGAGGCAGGAAAAAGGTCTCCTCCAGGCACTCGGCTTCAAATGAGAAAGAAATGAGAAGACCCAACCTAAGCAAAAATCAGATTTATTGTATCTTTTTCTACAAGAATCCGGAACAGAGCTGAATGGGAAAGAAAAACAATTTTATGCCAAGTTCCTCAAGTTCAGTTCGTGGCTGTGAAACACTCTTGTCTGAAACCCAGGAGAGGCACTGGTCATCTAGGCAGACCAGCCTTCCCCAACTGGGCACCTTCCAGATGTTTTGGACTGCAACTCCATCAGCCCCACTCAGCACAGCCAATGTCCAGGAATGCTGGGAAACTCTAGAGCAAAATACTTGGAAAGCATCAAGTTGGGAAGGCTGGTGCAGACAGTACTGAACCAAATGGAGCGATGGTCTGAGCTGATATATCAACAGTACTCTGCCCGCCTATCCAATCTCCGCACACTAGTAGACTCCCGGAGTGTCTCCATGCAAGAAATCCCCTTCACCAAGCGATGAGGTCAATAAACATACCTTATAGGAGGATGGAAGTTCTGTTCGGAGGGGAGTCTCTGGCAATTTGCCAGGCATTGTCTCTTCATCAATTGTCGTTTCTACTTGTCTGAGAAGATAGTGGCTGGTTGTTTGTAGTGGACTTTCAACATCCACTTAAAGCAATATAAAGAAGAACAGGTTAGTTTTTTGTTGTGAATTTCATCTTTGTAGATGACATTGAAAAGAAGCAGTTTGGAGACAAAAAGTAAACTTTTCCTCCATTTGAGAAGTTCAAAACTGCCTATTTCACAAGGATAGTACAAAGGAAAAGCCAAACATTACCTCATTAATTTGTCCTGCTTTAAAATGTGAAAACAAGCAATCTCTGACTGTTTTCTGAAAGACATTTTTACTGCCATTAGATTTCCACCTCTACTTTTTCTTTCACTTGCTACTTTCTAATGCTTTTGTCTTACTATGTTTTTGTTTAAAAGTGTTTACCAATTTGACCATTGGGGAAATGGCCCCAAAACATTTTCAAAGTCATTCATTAATAGCAGCACAATCCTATGGCCACTGGACAGCCACAGGCCTTTTTGGCTTCCCAGAGACAAGGTCTGAAAATCGCTCCAACTTTGCAAGACAGAATCCCTGCTCAGGTTCCTCTCATTCCCCCAACAGCCACCTGCTTCTCCAAGCAACCTCAGAGAAAAGCTTCTGGGGAAGCTCCCAGGGATGAGAGGGGAAAAGATGAGCAACACCAAGATTAGATACAAGATAAACAAGATATATCCCGGCAGCACTTCAGCCTCTATCCCTCTCACTTCAAAGAACCACACTTAGCCAGCCAAAACCAGCCTTTTCAATGCTTTGCAATCTGAAAGCAGATTACCTTCACCTCCACCTTCTCCCCACACTCCACAGATGCCTGTCACCCTCCTGAGCTTAGAGAGTGACAGGCAGCATCATCGGATTGCATCCTACTTTCATTAATTAAGTTCTCCCTTTTCTGGTGTGTGGATCCTAAGATTATAATGAACAAAGCAAACTTAAATGGTAACAGCACCTTCTATAACAGAGAATACATGTCAGAAAGTTGAACTGAATTGTGATTGTGTACCTTTTCCTGCAATGTTTGGAAGTGTGAATAAGGCATCATTGTCTCTGGGGATGGAATACAGCATACTTTCCTTCAGTGGAACAGTGTAATTTGTGTGTCGAAGGACTCTTGAGTCCTTTACCAATATATCTATTTCAGTCACATCATCTTGCTGAACCTGCAAAAAAGTGCAACAATATGAACAGTCTCCTTGGAGAAATTGTAAAACTGAGAAAAGTGTGTAAATGGTACAGAATTTCACAAAGAAAGTGACCTACTCCAGTAGAAAAAGGTCAAATATTTCCTCTTATCAAGCAGAGCACAGGAAATAAGAAAAAACGGCACTTACTAGCAACAGCAATTTGCTTCAGCAAATTAATTAAAAAAGGAAAGACATTAAGATGAAATTGTACCAAATGCTACTTTTGCCTTTGCATATTATAAGTTACCACTTTCAGTCGTTGATCTGAGTTCCCAGTATCTTGGGGGAGAGAGTAAGTATTCAATAATGGCCTAAGAGGCTATTGTGAGAGGGAAGGAAAGGGAGGGTGCACAAAAGGTAGTTTAAGGTTTCTGCTGTTGGCAGCAATTCTGGGCAGTCTGAAAAATAGTAGGAAGTAGGAAAATCAAAACCATCTCTCCCCATGCACTATGGGGAGGAACTTGCATTAGTGCCTGCATGGTAGAGAAAACCACCAAAGGCATCTGCCTAGTTGAGGAAGAAAGGGACTGCCTATGTTAGACTGTAGGGAAGCAGTAAATAGTCTGTGCCCTTCCAAACAGCACCCAGTTCTGGATGCAAGTGACCAAACACTCAAAACATAACCTGCAACCCTTGGACAATATTGTGGCCAAGTGTTGGGATGTGAAGCAGCAGCAAGCTGCCTCCTTTCCTTAATTCACTCAGGATGGAAGTGTGCTTGCAAAAGCCACTTTGCCAACCCTTGCTTAAAAGGACTGCATTGCTAGCTTAGTCGTAGATCCCAAATGCACATTTTTCCTCCAGCATGAATGCGAAGTTTCTTTTCTGGTATGCCCTGTCCCATCAAATCTATCATAATGTTGTCTAAAGGTTATTGGTGCTACCTATCTTTGGGCAGTGAATGCGCACCCTGAGTACAAAACTTGTCTTATCTTTTTATTAAAAAGAACACACGCATGCCTATCTTTTTAATAATCACTGCAGGAATGACCATGGAAGATAAATACTGACATATCTTTCAAGGATTTTGTATACATGGTCATCAAATTTTATGCAGCTGTATTTTTTTAAGCTTTTTGTTTGTAGAACTGCCAAGGTTCATTTTAGGAGCCACTCATAAGCTAATCTTTTTAAAGCTTTTGATCTTTTTATTGTCACTGGAAATGTTTCTTTCAATGGAACTGAGAAAAGCTTTGAAGGTTCTAATTATTAACTTTGAACCTCCCAATAGTACAAATTTGCTTTTGGAAGCAATGGAGATGCAATGCTTCCCCAGGATAGTACAGGATCACTATGCATAAGCCACCTATTTGATGGGAGTCCTGTATTCATAAAGAAGCTGGTTTGTGAGTAGAAACCTGTTGCTGGATCAAGGTATCTAACTGGCCAGCATCAGCAGTATCCACTGTTTGAATTCTTCAGCAAATATCTGTTATGTTTTGACCACAGGTATGATACTGAATGTAAAGTGTCTGTGGCATTATAATGTAATACAAAGGTGTGGAATCCTTTCAAGCCAAGGGTCAGGTTCAGGTTCAATTTCAAAGCAATTCATGGGGGTTTCATTCCAAGGATGGATGGGGCCAAAGGCAAAAGGGAGGGGTGCAATCAAAGCACTAGCATATTTTAACTTAAACCTCTTTCTGCCAGTATTTTAAATTACATTATATTCATACCCCATCTTTATCTGGCAAGGAACCAAAACCAACTTACCAGGTTCTGTTCCTTGTAACTGAACCTTTGTGAACCATTTCACCCTTTTTTAAAAAAGGAAAGAAAACGTCCTGGAAATCACCAAGCAATAGGCCATTGGATGGAGGGGGCAGGTAGTGGGAAAATGTGGGAAAAGTGGCATGGCCAGCTGGTGAATCCGGGAGGACCAGACTGGGACCCCCAGGCTGAATTTGTTTCTCTGAGGTTCAGCCCACCCCCACTCCCCGACTCACACCATGTAACTTATGCTTAACTATTCATAAGTTATCTATTTAATATTTGTTTGTTTATTTATTTTATAAAACTTTTATATGGCATCCCTTCATGTCTCGGCACTTTGAAAGAAGGAAAAGTAATCCTGTCTCTAAAGAAGTGACAGAACCCTCAGTCTCGCCAAACAGTGAGGTACAAGGGTTGGAGTGTTGAACTGGGACTCAGGTGAATGCATTCTAGTCTCCTTTCAGCTGTAAAGCTCACTGGCTGCTGCTGGCCTCTCAGCCTAACTTATCCCACAAGGTTGCTCTGGGAATAAAATACAGAGGAGAAGAGCTTGGGTTCTTTGCAAGAGGAACAAAGGCAGGGCATAAACATAATAGCAATAGGGAAAGCAGTGTATGGTTTATTTAAGCCCTCATTTGTTTCCCTACCAGGGTTTGTCTGGCAGAAAAACAAACCGTTGTTCTCTCAGTTCCGAGGTTCTTTGTCTAATCTGCTCCTCCTACATCTGCTCCTTTCTTGTATCTCAAACAGCTTCTTGATATTGTAGTACTAGCATGTAGAGCTGCTGGGGTTCTTTTTACCACTGCTGCCAACTGTCTTTGTCATCTACCAAAACAATCCACGGTTCTGGGTTCGCCCATAGTTTAAACAACCCAGAGTTCACAACCAAACAACCAATTTTGTATTGTCTTTCCCAAATGGTTGACATTAACAAACCAAGCTCTGTTTTCTTGACAGCACAGAATTCATCAAAGCATGTTACAGATACGTATATCGTATCGGCCAAAATGAGGGTGCTCTAACTTTAATTTCAGGAATTATGAGGCAAACATATCCCACTACTCCCTTGAGTGACTGCTAGCTTTCTCTTCCGTTTTATGGAGAACCATCCAGTCTCTGAAAAGATTGCAGAAGCTGGAACAATAGCAGCAGCAGCAGATGCTCCTAATCACACTTATTTGGAACTACTGAGTCATTTAATTCCAACTAACTGCACTTGGCACAATTCACACATCTTTCAGTAAGAATTTTCCAATACAAAGTGATTTTGCTACATATTCTTCCAGGCAGCACGAATCACAAGTAACTTCTAATGTCTTAAGCCTACTGGTGGCACTGGAAGCGGCGGCATCATCATCATCATCATCTGTTTAAAGGCCGCCCATTAGCATCACACTTTCTGTACACAGCACCATAAGGTTTCAAGTTACAAATCTCATAAAGATTCAACAGCGGAATGACAGATAAGATTTCAGTCTTGAGTTCGCAGTGAAATATATTTGGACATACCCACTTTTAGAAAAGTGAGGTTGTGTTGGGGAGGACAACCCAGGAAAAAGATCCTGAGATAATGGTAAAAATGCCCTGAGAAACTAAAATCAGCTCAGCATACTATGGCAATTAAAAGGGTAAGTTCATTAGGAAATGAACTGAAAATTCAACTGCTGCTAGTTAAGTGCCATTATATTAATCTGCGTTGTACCTCCTATTTGATTCGAGCACTGGTGGTGACAGAGGGGCTGTTCACACAATATGACAGCCCAAACTAAGGCTGCCATTTTGAATATGCCACACTCACTCATGAGTTGTCCTGATGTGCAAACCTGGCAAGCATGGTTAACCCTTGAAAAAATGCACGGTCTGTTTTATTATTATGCATTTGTTCTTTGACCGTTAACCCAAGCTTGCTGGGGTCATATGACATGGCAACCCACAACACAGGATTGTCTATGAAGCCTGGTGCCCATGTGCGCTGCAGCACATCATAGGTTAAACATGTGGCATGTCATCTGAACCCAACCTGCAGCCCTTCCATTCTCTGTATGGCCCTGCATGTGCACCATCACTGCAACAGCCTTCCCTCCCTCTTTGACCCTTTGCAACTAACCACTACGTCACCATTCCTCACCACTCCACAGTTGTAGCCTTTCTTTCTTGTTCCTCATCCCCTTCCCTCCCCACACGCCCTTAAGTTTAGAGATAAGGTGAATGTAGCAGGAATTTCAGGGTGAACAGAAGAGGATCACAAGCAGGGGGAAGAGGAGAATGGAAATAGCAAGGGAAAGAAATATGATTTACCTGCTTTCCATCAATTTCTGTCACTTCCTCCTGAACAACAATCAACTGTAAGTTGGAGCTGGATGCCATTGGCCACTCGTGGACCATAATGCGAACGCTGACAATGCCCAACCGCTTGTGATCCAGTTTAGTGTTAGAGCTTCCATTTTCCACTAACAACAAATAACTGTGTGTCATAAAGTGGTCATGCAAAGATGCACAATCTCTAAAAACAAATAATACATAAAATGTGAACTGATCAAGCTGCAAACTGAATCTTGTCCTACATTGCAGTACAGCAACTTTCCACAACCTGATGACCTCCAGATATTTTGGATAACTCTCAGCATCCTGACCACTAGCCAAACTGGCTCCAGGAGCTGACTGGAATTGACCCAAAACATCTGGAAGGCACTAGAAGTACAGGAAATCTGGGAAGTGAGAGGAGGTTACGGCAAGAGGCAGAGAAGCCAAATTAAGGATATGCAAGGAATCCATCCGGGCATGGGAATCCACCAGATTCCCTGGGCTTGACTCCCTGGACTCCGGTCCACTTTGCAGTAGCCCTGAGCCCAAGTTCTTGGCAAGTGCTCCCAGCATTCACAGGGGCTCTCTAGGAACTGAGTCCCATACACTGCACAAACAGTGCCCCTCTTCCACACCCAGCACTGCCTCCACCAGTTGCACTGCATGGGAAGAAGACTGTTTGCCAGGAACAGTGCCTGGCGCACCCACTTGTAGCACTCCTCTTTCACACTCAGTGGAAGCAGCAGCGGATGGTGAAGAAGGTTGGCACCTGGTACACCCGTTTGCAGCACCCCAACTCCATGCCTGGTGCCACTGCCACCTCCATCAACAGCAGCAGGCAGGGAAGAAAGCTGGTGGCCAGGAACTGTTTGGGTGGCTGCATCTGACAGTGAAGGTTGCCGGTTGCAACTGGGAGTCTGCAAGTGTTTATGGACTTCCTCTCAGTTCAGCTTTCTTTGCAGGAACAGGCCAAGCATGGGAGGAGGCTCACAGATTCTAGAAGGACAGCTTATGAAAGGACTCAGGTCAACCCCAGGCAGACTTCAACTGCCTGGCTCAAGACAGGAGCACACATGCCTAGCGACGTGCAAAAACCAAAACATCTACATTTGCCCCTTCTTATTCTATAGCATGCAAAGGATGGAAAGGACTCTTCAGTAGTAGTGACCTGCAAGGTACATGCAATGTTTGCGTTCCTGCCTGAGGCTAATATAGCATATACGTGCAATAAATACAAGCTGGTTATGCTAAAAGACGAACAGTGGCAGTTCTTAAGTAGCTGATGTTCACCCTCCAAGGAATAAAAGAATAGGAAGAGTACTTAGAATAGTGGAACTGCAGGAACAAGAAGCACCAGAGCAACAATGGATATAAAAATGCTGAGCTGAGGAAAGCCAGTGAAGAGGGAACTCCCAGGAGAAGGGTCACAGTTGTGAGTAGGATCAGAAGACACTTTGTACCAACGGAACCACTAAAGCTAAGTAAATGCTTTCTGCTGCTGGAGGGTGAGACCAGAGGACAGCCTGCAGAAGCAGAATTACAAGGGTACCTGGGTGACAGGGAGCAAGATGCACAATGTCAGTTGACCAAGAAGAGAAGAGTAGTTCTTGTGGGAGACTCCTTATTGCATGGGACTGAAACATAAGTATGTTACGATGACCCATGGACTCACCAGATATACTGTCTCCCTAGAGCAGGGGTCTCAAACTCGCGGCCCGCAGGCCAATTGCGGCCTGTGGGATGGTATTTTGTGGCCCCCACTTGATATCAAAGTTTAGTGATAGTGCGGCCCGCACGTTTTTCTCACACGCACCTGCGTGAGTCGTTACCCTGGGCGCAATGTTCCCTCTAAGCTGCGCGCCGGGACGAGTGGGCCACGGGGGAGGGGCCCTGTGGCCTTCAAAGCACCAGCGGTGCCCGGGACGGCCTCCGGGAGTGACGCGGGATGAGCGGCCCACCACCACCGCGGTGGTGGAATACTTGATGTGGCCCAGCCTCACCCAGACTCTACTTCCAGCGGCCCCCAGGTAAGCTGAGTTTGAGACCCCTGCCCTAGAGCATGAACTAGAGATGTGATTGAAAGACTGCAAAAGCTCATAAAGCCAATATTTATTTATTTCTACACATAAATAAAATGTTATATGCTGTCCAATAGTAAAGTCTCTGGATAGCTTATAATCGACACATATCCCTTTCTTCTAATCCACCTAGGAACAAATTATACTGCCAAATGGAACTACAAAGGAATCACATCAGATTTTGAAGCTCTAGAAAGGAAACAACAAATATGTGACCCAGCTAGTCTTTTCATCTATCCTCCTAGTTCTTGAAAGAGGAATAGAAAGAAAAGAAAAATACTGCCTCTGAACAACTGGCTATGAAAGCCGTGTCAATATGAGAGATTTGGATTCTGAGAGCAGAGACTTTGCTCTTGGAAGGAGGACCACTGGCAAGGGACAGGTTGCACATCACAAGAGTTTGGTCATAGCATGAAGAATTTCATCAGGAGGACTTTCAAATGAATCCTACGGAAGAGGGAGACAGGCATTTGGAGGCAACTGTGGATGAAGGTTTATGCAGCGTAGCAGTGAGAAAGAGCTCTGGTAATACCCCAAATTGGTCTGCACAATAATGTAGGAAAGAAGCCAGACCTCAAAGTACATGGACTTCAGCATCTATATCAGGGGTCTCAAACTCAACTTACCTGGGGGTGAGGCTGGGCCGCATCAAGTATTCCACCACCGTGGTGGAGGTGGGCCGCTCATCCCGTGTTGCTCCTGGAGGCCATCCTAGGCGCCGCCAGCGCTTTGAAGGCCGCAGGGCCCCTCTCCCATGGCCCACCCGTCCCGGCGCGCAGCTTAGAGGGAACATTGTGCCCAGGGTAACGACTCACGCAAGTACGTGTGAGAAAAACGTGCGGGCCGCACTATCACTAAACTTTGATATCAAGTGGGGGCCACAAAATATCGTTCCACGGGCCGCAACTGGCCCGCGGGCTGCGAGTTTGAGACCCCTGATCTATATGCTAATGTCCAGAGTATGGGAAAGCAACAGAATGAATGTTCACTCTTAACACCCAAAGGCAAATACGACATTATAGGTATTACTGAAACATAGTGGGATGACTCCCATGACTGAAATAGAGCAAATGAAGGGTTTAACTTGTTCAAAAAGAACAGAAGAGATGGTGGATTTGCATTGTATGTTAAAAATAGTTATTCCTACAGAGAAATACAGACAGATGAACCTGGTAGTCTCATCAAGAGCATCTGGGTCAAAATAAATGTGTCAAAAAGAATAAAAAGACCACAATAGAATCTACCCCAACCATCCAGTCAAGGAGATGGAGACGAAATGTTTGTCAAACTAATTGCCAATATTTCAAGAAAGTGTGATGTGATAATAATGGAGGACTTCAATTACCCTGGTATCTGTTGGGCGACAAATTGTGTCAAAAGTGGCCCCTCCAAGAAATTCTTGAAATGCATTGATAAGTCTCTTCTACAGAAAGTGGAGGAGGGAACTAGAAGATCAGCTATCCTAAATACTAATGGGAATGACCTAGTGGATAAAGTGGAAGGAATGCAAACTCTGGGAAAAAGTGATTACAACATATGAGTACCTGCCTTTAAAGGAAACCAAAATGGAGCTTAACCATACCCATACTCAGGATTTTGGGAGAGCTGATTTTAATAAACTCAGAACAATGAAAAGCAAGGTCGAAGACTAAAGGTTAAAGCTGAGAATAAGCTGAGGCTAGCAAGGGATATTAAAAGCAACCAGAAGCTTTTTTCAGATACATGCACAGTAAAAGAAATAGTGGTTCAACTTCTCTATGAGGAAGGTAAATTGATAATAGATAACAAAAAAATGCCAATATGCTCAGTCTTCTCCCAGAAGCAGGTTTATGAGCTCCCAGCAGAAATCAAAGTGAAAGAGAGGGATTCAAGCTTGAGAATAATAAACAAATGATTGAGGAACAACTAAATCCTTTGAATGAGTTCAAGTCTCCCAGGTCTTTATTACTCCTAGAGTAATAAAGGAACTGACAGAAGAACTCTCAAAACCATTATCTTTAAGAAATCATGGAGGATGGGTGAAGTGCCAGATGTCTAGAGTAGGACTAATGTTGACCCTATCTTCAAAAGGTGGGGAAAGAGAATCCTAGGTGCTATAGACCAGTCACTCTGACACTTAACCCTGGGGAAAAATTTGGAGTAGATAATAAAGACATCAGTCTGGAAGCACCTTGAAGGCTATGGAATAATTACTAGAAGCCAGCATGGAACAAATCTTGCTAGGCTAATCTGATCTTATGTTTTGATTGAGTAACCTCCCTTGTGGTCTGAGGGACCAAGTGTCCCATGACATTCTGATCAGGAAACTAGCTTAAGGTGGGTTAGATGAAACAACTACCAGGTGGATCCACAGAATCGGCCTCAAAAAGGACTCTTCAATGGCACCTTCTCTGTGGGGCAAAGGAACAAGCAGGTCTCAGGCACGGGACCAGTGCTCTTCAACATTTTTATTAATGATTTGGACAAAGAGTTGTAGGAAATGTTGATCAAATGCAGATAACACAAAATTGTGTGGGATAGCTAATATCCTGGAAGACAGAATCAAAATTCAAAGTGATCTTGATAGGTTAGAGTGCTGGGTTGAAAGCAAATAGAATGAAATTCAATTGGAACAAATGCCAAGTTCTGCACTCAGGAAAAGGGAACCAAATACACAGTTACAAGATAGGAGATATTTGGCTCAACAATATTAGGTCATGGGCTCTCCCAAATTGGAAGCATTCAGGGGGCAGACAAACAGCCATCTGTCAAGGATACTTTAACCCGGAGCCTTGCACTGAGCAGGGGGGTTGACTTGATGGCCCTTCCAGTTCTATGATTATATAATATGATTCTATAGCACAAATACAGCATCACTGGTTCCATGAGTCAAGGTTGCTTTCAGGAGCAGTATTCAAAGAGCCCAAAAGGCTGCTATATCTTTACTTAATGCAAACCGGAATGCTTTTTACTATCACATCTTTGCATGGCTACATATCAAATGGAAACTCAAGTAGCTTCCTTTGTTCCACAGAGCTCACAGCAATTTTGTTCAGCATTGCATATTCATGCTCACCCTTAAGTTGCCTTGAACATAGCCAGGGTGAGATTCCTGGCAGTAAACCAAAGGTTAACCTTGAAGCTACATAGAGTGCAACAGAAGCAGTAACCCATTCATGGCACTCTTACTGAAATGCTTCAGTAAGTGCGCACTTGAACCTGGTGCGGTAGACCAACACTTCAGGGGAGCACTAGTTTTGGGAAGGCTGGTGTAGGAGAAATATGCTCAAGAAAACTATTCACTTAGGAAGTTTCATGGGTATATGCATCCCATTGGTGTTCTCTTGTTTGGTGGATCCCCATTGCTATCACCAGATCACATAGTACAAAAGGGTGGAAAGTAGTCAATTCTTGCTGGCAGCATGTATGTTTATATCAGTGGTAATAGTGGCAATATATCATTGCCACGATTACCATGCTAAATTATTTTGCATGTCAAGTAACTACTGCTGAGAAGATGCCTGCCGGCAGTATGTCAGTGGCATCCATGTGCAACATCAGGATGCGGAGTTTCATGGGGGGCTGTTCAAAATGCCTCTATTCTTCTACAAAGATTGAGATTATTATTGGCAGAGACCCTCCCCACTCTTATCCTACCTATCTCCCACTGCCATATTATAGTACAGTGAATGCCTGCCTGTAGGCACACTAATTTACACATATGAGAAATAATAAAATGTATTACAACAGAATCACTTTATATTTTTCTTTCGAACATTTCACAGTAATTCAAATTCCTGGAGGCAATTAGGTCTTCTATTAAATCAATACTGATTTGTCTTATGATTGAGAGTTGACTGCACCTAACTAAAATCCTAAACAAGTTTAAGGAGATGTAACACCCACTGAGTTCAAGAGAACTAACTTTAGACATAAGCTTTTAGATTAGATCTATATTAAACTGGGAAAGCATAGGAGCACTTTTACTACATCAAGCTACACTGAGCTACTGCCTGGTCTCCCTAATGGAAATCAAGTTTTGTTATTAATGCATAATGTTTTAGGCTTTCAAAAGTCAATTTAAGAAAGACATTAGTACATTCTTAGTACAAGAGCCGATTGTAAAGGGTAGCTGATCTCAAAAGCTAACCTTGAGACTGGCCAGCACCAGCACATCAAGATACTCTGTGCATTAAAAGTTACTCAGTGGCATGTAATTGCTCTTACTTCATTAATTATGTAAAATCTTGCCTACATACTCAAACCAAGATGTTCCAGTCCACAAGGCAAATGAAAGTAAACTGAAACAGTTTCCCCCTTTATAGTAACTGCAATTTTAAATTTGTAGTTCATGAATAATATTTATGTCTTTTTAAGAAAAACACCAGCATGGATTGAATGTAAACTACGTACGAAAGTTTTCAGAAAAAAATGTTACAAAGATAATCTCAAACAACACTCACAGTGCTGTATTATTTCTCCTACACCAACTTGTCTGGATATGAGCCAGCTTAAGAGAGGAGACGGACAAGACTTATCAGGGTGGAGTCACATCCTTGCATTAATACTGCCCGGCCTGTTGCACAAATTCTTTGCCTTGCACAAATAACTTAACAAATGGAGAACTCTGCTTTCCGCAAAATCAGGATCTGAATTCAGACTGAATGTGAATATATGCAACATGGGTTTGCTATAGATGGCATCCAGAGAAGACATCCAATTTTGTCTTCTACCAGTTTTAATACATTACCCTAACAGCAGATATATTTTTATACACACATATAAACAGACCAGATGTACAGAGAGTAGAATGCCAATTAGTGCATAATCCTATGAATCTTTAGACATGGAAAATGCTTTTTAACATGCCCAGGATTGCGCTCTTGGTTATTCTATGAATCGTAAATTGCACACCAGCACATGACAGAGATTAGGAATTAAGCATACTCACGTATTAAAGTCTGACACTTTATTCTTGCAACTCCACTCTTCAGTGGGAAGTCATTTACATACACCTGGCCATTAACATAGGATATATTAAGGACAACCTAAAGAAAAAGCAGAGTCATCCATATATTAAACTTATTTCAAAATACAAAAATGAGAATAATATCTAGTTTAATCAAAATACTCATGATAACAATGATTAAAATTCAAACAAATTTAAGAAATTATGTATTAACTGAATTTAAGTTATGCCAATATATATTACAAATGCTGGTTTAGGTTGCAGAAAAGGAAACATAAAAGCCAATTAATGAAAAAACTTGCAATCCATGTCATGCTGAAATCAATGCCTTCTCTTCTCCCACTGATTAGAGGTTATGAATTGCAACTAAAATTTTTACCCATTAAATGTCACCCACTCTGTATGAAAAAGGTAATGTACAGCAAGAGGAATACAGAAGCTGTGAGAGTCTAGAGGTTGATGCACTAGCAATGAATTTAGGAAACTGAAGTTCAAACTTTAGCTCAATTACTAATTCAGTATTCAGCCACTACCTCCCTGTTTTTGCAGTCACTGCTAAAGTGGGAACATTCCCTTAGCCTTACCCATAGCACCCCACACCAGCACCAGCAAGAGGACTGGAGTGAGAGCTTTGTGTATCACTGTCCCTCCAGTGACTCTGGTGGTCCTTGTCCCTGCACATCCATACCTGAAAACTGTTGACAGCACCTGTCAACATCATAGAACCAAATCAAGTCAGAAGGTGCCTTACAGGCCATCTAATCTGACCCCCAGCTCCAGCCTGCTCTGTTCATGTAATTCCCCAACATGTGGTTGTCCAATCTTTCCTTGCACACCCTCACTTATGGGGCCTCCACCACCTCCCTTGGAAGCCCATCCCATACCCTAGGCGTCCTAACCGTCAGGAAGTCCTTCTGGACATCCACCCTGAAGCCTGGCTCCTTGAGCTTTATTCCACTGGAATGCGTCCTACCCTCCACTGCAGGGAAGAGCCGGTCACAGCCTTCCTCCACATGGCAGCCCCTCACATACCTATAAGTCATGATAGGTATGTGAGTCCAAGAAGACTCCAAGGAGATCTTCTTGGAGTCTCCTCTTCTCTAGGCTGAAAGGCCCAGTTCCCTCAATCTCTCCTCATATGCCATCCCTCCCAACCCAGCTATCATTCAACTTCCCCCTGCCCCAACGTTGCCACCATCACACATCTAATGATGCTTTCATTTGATGCCCCTGGTGGCACTTCATATTCTGGACCTACCACTGTGAAGGCAGCATGTTTCAAAATATAAATTTAACTGTTTTATTGTGTAGTACTCTGAGAAACATTATGTATACAGAAAAGCAGTATACAGACATGGCAAAATATATACATACCTGTCAGTCCTGTGGGAAAAGATAATAAAACCAGCCAGCCTTGCCAGTAAGTCCCCACCCATCCCCAAATCCTACTTCTTAGTCTTACAGTTTCACAAGTTATTTGCTGGCTAAATAACAAAAGGATCAGAAGTGAGAGAGGGAGGTAGAGGGAAGATGCAAGTACAGAAAGTCAAACATACCTGTCTTTCCTGAATGTCCCCATTGTTTTCCAGCATATTAACTTTAATCCTTATGCTTTCCTGCAAGGATATAAAGAGAGAGGAGAAATTTAAGAGAAAAAGAAAGAAATGTTTTAAATATTTGTCAATATAGCATCACACAGTCCAGCCAATTGATTCTGTTTCCAGTTTGAGCAACAGATATATTCTCTTAAAAACTACCAGGCCTAGAGTTCCTAGCATGTAGGGAGGAAGGAGGGACCACTGGTGGGAGGGACAGAGCACCATAATAATCAGGGACATTGATCCCTGGGACAGTGAGAGCCAGTTGCTACCAGCAGGGCTGACTGACCCTAAATATTTGTAAAGAAGTATCTTGTTCTCTCTTTCCATCATACATATATTTCAAATGTTGCATGATGCCTGCTGGTCTGTTGTTTAATTGTGCAATTGGTAGCAAAACATTATCTGATGGATTTACAGCCACATTTCTTGCACAGTCTGTCCCTTATCCAATCAAGGTCTTCCTGCTCTATATGAAATACTCCTTCCTCATGCTGGGCGCTGCTCAGCTATTATTCCTCCACTTTCCCAGATATTGGGCAGCCATGTACACATATTCCATATAGCCCACTAAGTTCCTACCTGAGTTTCTGACATTGCCCTCAAAGCGGTTGCATCTCACCTTCAGCACATTCAGTGCTCCTGCTGTTTCTGTTAAGCAGACTGTACTGCAGGCATTTGAACAAAGAATTGGGCTGCAAAGCATATGAGGTCATCTAATATGGAGCAGCCACCCAATGGAGTGTGAATGTCATCCAGGTGGCCCAAAGTGCAAAGTCTCTAGTACTTTCTCCATAACTATGTTCTGGGAATACCACATGTTCCTGTGCCTTTTACGAAAACACCTTTGACCAAATAGGCTGATACATCACAAAAGTGTCTCCTATGCAGGCTGTTCATGTAGCTGTGTCAAATAAATGGGGAAGTAGGAAGAACCAATTTCAGCTTCATACAAGCAAGGCATTCTGCTGGTGTTTATTCCTGCTATCAAGTAATCAGGCAATATTGCCTATGCCAGGAAGTGCTTAAATTCTTTTTCAACAATATTCCCCCATGTCACAATTTGTCTCTAGCTCAGATTCCTCAATGTACATCATATCACATCTTACTGTGACACCAACAATGCATATGTTTATAATATCTCCTATTACTAGAAGTGCTTTTCAACTGATGTAAAGAAAATTCACTGAAAATATAGGACTTATTTTTATATGTCCAAAATGCTCCTTAGCGATTTAACACAAAAATAATCTACTCCTAGTTAACAGGCTATTCTATGGCTAAAAGTATCCAATCAAGGTCCTCCTGTTCTATAAATACTCCCTCCCCATGTAGAGGGCTGCTCAGCTATTATTCCTCCACTGTCCCATGAGACGAGCTATCAGGAGCAGGCATCATGCCCGTCATCTTCCTTTCCCAACCATGGCAAGAAGTGAACAATCAGGCCATGATCCCACAATTATTTAAGAAGAGGTCCTTCCTGATCCTAGAAAATTAAGCTTAGAGGGTCAGGGAGGATCCCATCCTACAGAGTGCTTTCGTTTCTACTGCAGAACAGTGTGAGAGATGGGTGTCAGTCAATGTGATTGCAACAGAGGTGTTCAGAGAAAGGTGCGCTTAGCTCTTACCTTTGGACTATTTTTGCAAACACAATCACTCTTTTCAAGCTGCTCTTCTAGCCATAGAGGAAAGGATAGCGGGTCCCTATGTATGGAAAGGCAGTATTGGGACGATCACGGTCACAAAAATAATCCATAAGGAAAGTGTTAAGCAGAATGTTCCAGCTTCATTTCTGTGATAAACTTTCATTTCTTTTCTCCACTCTACTTTTCAGTTTAAACTAATGTTAGGATATGGGCTTGGCCTCTAATAACACTGCTTTCCCTCCACATGTCAGGGAGGAAGGTTTATCCTCATCTCCTTTGTAGCATGTAATTTGTGGCCCTGCAGGTATCTTGGCCTACAGCTCACATCAGCCCTCACCAGCACCAGCACTGTGAATGGCAAAATGGGGGTTGTGGGGCAAAATACCAAGAAAGCCACATTACCCACCCATGTATTTGTTTAAAAAGTTATGGAAGAGCACCCAGTCACGTTAGCCTTCACCTACAGAAAAATCAACAGTCCAGTCCAGATTGTATTTAGGATCACCCAAGTCCTCCACCCCAGTACATTTTATTTTATTTTTTGCTAAAAGTATGAATAACTTATTGCGTCTGCTGTTTACATATTTACTTTTCCATTCATAAGACCCGACACAAGTTACACAAAGTTAACTAAGCTATCTTTACATTCAAATTATACTAACCAAGCCTGCATCCCGCTACTGTACCATCACATTTTACTTGGTTAATTAAAAATAAGCACTATAACAATTAAGAGATAAAAATAGTTTGGACCTAACAAGATCACATTTTTAGTGACTTAGGGATATTCCCATCAGATCAAAAGAATATAAAAAGTAATGTGAAAGACAGAACATGAACATGTATGATATTATGTGGACTGTAGACAAAACTATCTCACATTATTCAGTAGTTACCACATTACATACTTTTCATGCACTACATTTTTGCAGCAATGACTACTTAATCTCTTTTCACTTGTAGGTTTCAAGTATTTCTTGCCTTGCCAAGTACATTTTACATATAATACATGACTGGGAAGCATTTCCTGCTGGTACTTAATCACCCTTCATTTTAAAGCTCCCTGGGCCTTTTCATCAGTTATTTACATATTAGATTTCATAATGTTTCCTTTGTGACTTGAATACAAAGAATGACAGAGTCAGATACACAGGTCAAAGTGTGTACAGGGGGAAGGGAGATGGCAATAGTGAAACATTGCAGCTTAAAAAATCTTCTGTTGCATAAGTCTTGCCAAAACATCAAAATTTTGCAACAGTGCTCACATGGGACAAAAGTAAATTAACCAACACACACTGTTTTGACCTTCTATTCTTATTTTTAAACCTTTCCTCTAATCATTTTTCAAAACTTGCTTCCAAACTAATTGTACTCTGAAGGTAAATTTACAAAAGTGGACTCTATTGACAAAATGAGCCACTCTGGCCTTTGGAGTCATCACAGACTGAAGATAAAGAAAGGAAAATTCGAACATATGACTAATCTGTAAGACCGAAGACTAATTTGTAGGACCATGAAAGATGGATCATGAACATGTATGAAATTATCCAGACTACAGACAAAATTATGTAATGTTAACCAGTACACATCACATTATTTATACACACTGCTTGTACTTAATCACTATTCATTTCAGAGCTTCCTGGGGCAATCAGCAGAAGCCATCTGGATTGGGGAATCCCACTCTTTACATGCTAAAGGTCCAGCATGTTAAAAGAAACCCTAGAGAGAGGTCCAATTGCAACCCTATACCAGAGCAAGATGTGGAAAGATTAACACCAGTCACAGCAGAATTTGTTGGCAGTCTCCTTTAGAGAGTGGGTAGAGGGACTGGCCCAGTGTTCCTCAGTCACTTTTCAGAGCAATGACCTTGCAGATAAACTATTTGCTTGTAGAGGTCATTCAGGCAAAAAACCTGTGTGACAAATTGGGTCAGTGAAGCAAAAGGCTTAGGGACAAGTAAAGCTTGATGGGATATATGAACATAAATATTCAGGCAATGGACTGGATACACCCTTAGTCATACTTAGAACAGACCCGCTGACCTTAATGGGATTGAAATTAGTCATGTCTAATTTAGGTCTCCTGAATTTTAATTATGGCTGTCTGGAACCAACAAAAAGTTTATGTGCTTTCTTTTATACAATTTGTTTATACAGCATGTTGAAAAAGGCATATAGTAAGCTGTTGCATCTTTGCAGTTCTTACCCAGACCTGGTATAAAGCAGGTTTTTGTACTGTATGTTGCCTTTTGATTAAATGGTATATATTTTGTAGGGTGCCAGTGCTGTTGAACAACTCTGCTTCTCCACCTTTCTCCAAGCAAATGCCATATTAAACTGTCTCCAAGATAAGAAGGTAGTAAATTTGCATCCACTAACAGAATTGATGGTTCTAAAATGGTCCTTGAAGATGACAGAAAACAGTCAATCCCACAGTACATTATGCAGTACACAAGTTCTGAGACCAGCTTCCTTAAGCAGCCCTTGCCTAGCGTGTTTGTCCTTCCCATTAACTGCTAATATAGCAAGCCCATCAGGCAGTGGCTGAGAAGTATTGTGAAGATGAGGGCTAGAAGAAATAAAAAGAAAAGTAGGATGAAAGGGGGAAGATCATTCTAGGAAATTAAGGGAACCAGAAGCATTTTGCAGGAATGACAGGACTTCCGATTCACCTCTCAGATAATCCTGTTTATCTAATGGCTGCTCTGGATTACTAAAAAGTAGGTAGTTGGGAAAGCAAATCACCCAACAATCTCAATCCCTGACTTATTTCCAGCAAGCCAAAGCCTTAACAATTCATGACCACCAATCATTTTGACCATCTGTGTTCATGCAAGCAGCATAAGATACCACTATAAAGATTCCTGACAAATAAACTTGTTCTTTAAACAGAAATCTTATGTTGTCATCTATTCCTTAACTTCCTGTGAATGGAGAAGTTGTCTGCCATTATTTTCTCATGTGAAGCGAATCATTCTGGAAAGGGCTACACAGATGTAAAGGAGGGCAGCAAAGATGATTAGGGGACTAGAAACAAAGCCCTAAGAGGAAAGACTAAAAGAGCTGGATATGTTTAGCCTTAAGAAGAGAAGACTGAGGGGAGATACTTGAAAGGCTGTCGCACAGGGGAGGGCCAGGATCTTTCTCAATCATCCAAGGGTGCAGGACACAGAATAATGAGCTTAAGTTACAGGAAGCCAGATTCTGGCTAGAAATCAGAAAAAATTCCTGACTGTACAGCAGTACAGCATTGGAACTAATGACCTAGGGAGGCTGGGGGTTAAATGGCCACACTGGAGGCATCCAGGAGGCAGTTGGTCAGCGATGCTTCAACCTGAGGTCCTGCCATCGGACCTGATGGCCTTATAGGCCCTTTCCAACTCTACTATTCTATGATCTCATGAATGTATGTTATGGCCTGCAACTCCCTCAGCCCTAGCCAGTATAGCCAGTGGTAACTGATACTGGGAGGTGTTAGACCAAAACATCTGGAGGGCCGTAAACTGCCCTCCCCTAGACAGGGAACAATAACAAACTGGTCTGGTGCAGATAGGCTGATACTCCTATTTCACATAGTTTTCCATTCCTTTCTACCCTAAAACACAGGATGCTTGTGTTGCTTTGAGAAGCAAAATGCTTCTTAGTGCAAGCCTACCAAATACCATAAACAAAATCAGGTAAGGCTTATAAATACAAAGGCTTATTGTTGTAAGCCGCCCCGAGGCTTCGGCGAATGGGGCGGCATAAAAATGTTTTAATAAATAAATAAATAAATAAATAAATACACACACATCTGAGGTATTTACATGATAGTTCTTGACAAAGTCGATCTTCCAATATGGATTTTTCCTACTGAAAACCAGCGCTTAAATCAACCAAATCTAACCCTTACATTTTTGGGTGTGTCAAAAAATTGATTTGTGAACTCTTTAGGTCATAATCCTATGCATGTTTACACAGAAGAATGTCCTAGAGTTACATACTGGGAATTACTGGTGATATAGGATTCCTTTCCTGGCTAAAAATGCATAGGACTGTGTCCTTAAGCAATTAGCTAGCCATCAGAGGCTGAAAGCAAATCCATCCTAAAAGCGTGAAAATGATGCCAGTCAAAAACCATCACTGTGATTTCAAACTTGATAACACAACACATAACTACCTTGGAGAAGCCGCAAGTGACACACAACCATGCAATGCATTAACGAACAGCCTTTCTGTTCTCCTTTATTCTCCATGTGAATGATGATCTGCTATTGCTTGTTGGCTTATCCTTACAGATTTCAACTCAGAAACATCCTTGCTTGCAATAGAAAACGGATGTCTTACATCTAAACACTCAATCCTAAAGTTCAAACCGTATTAGAAATAAACTAATCGGGGCAATTTTTCTCCAACCAGGCAACCTGCTTGGGGCCTTATATTTATATCGTATTCATTAAGTCCTCCGCATGTACACTTGTACAGAAATAGCAGCCGTACAGCCGCTGTGCAATCCAAGCCACTCGAGGCCCGACAGGGCAGATTATGCAATGCTGCAAATACATCGATTGCCAAATCATGGAGATCCCGTGCTTTCACATCCAAACTGTGCAAACCCTCGCATTTCACACAGATATACGCCCTAATACAACCCACGGCTCGTGCATGTAATACTAAAGGCTCAGAGAAGACACGGACAAAGCAACGGCGTGTCCGCCTCCAGGAGCGCCCACGTTCCACGGCCAGACGCGCGAGCGCAGGTGTCACCTCACCGAACTAACTGGGCACCCTTTGCTTTTCTGCGCCTGCATCTGAGCGGTTCCCCTTCCGCGAGTCCTTTTCTCGCCCCGCCATCGGGGGCCCCCGCCAGTGCCCCCGAGAAAGGGAGCTACCGGGAGACCTTGTCCAATCCTACCTGGCTTACGAGCTGGGAGAAAGCGGCTGTGGGGTCCGGAGCAGCCAAGCAGGGGGGCAACAGCAGAAGGAGCCCCGCCACCAGCCGAAAGAACTCGTGTGCCTCCCGCGCCGCCTCCATCTTGGGAGCCGGGAATTAAAACTAAGTGAAACATCAACAAAGCGAGACGGGAGGCGGAGCAGAAGCTGGGTGGAGCCCGGCAGGCAGCGGAGGCGGCGAGCCCCGAGAAGAATGCAGCGTCGGAAGGGGTGCTGTGGGAGCGCGGGGTGAGGGGATCCTTGGCCCTGGGAAAGGGCTGAGCAGCGCGCTTTCCATCAAGCTCGGAGCAAAGCAAGGGCCGTGGCCTTGGCTGCGCGCATCCCGGCCCCGCTCCGAGCCCGAAGAAAGGCGGGAGTGGAAAGAAGCCTTTCCCAGAGAATTTAAGCCTTTCCCGGCTTGGCGCAAATGAAAGTAGTCCGGCGTGGCAGCTTACAATGCCTTATTTTTTTTTTTTCACTGGCACCTATCTTTGAAACAGCCTGACCTTTATTAGACCAATACCCCTGAGCTTCAACTAAAACTTATTGCAATATTGGATGGATTGCAATTAAATGTTTAAAACATTAGAAAATAAGTAACAGACGAAAAGAAGACAAATGCAATAGATCCATCAAAGTAGCATAAAAGTAATCTGAGCAAAACATAAAAGTAATCTGAGCAAATTTCCCCATAGCAAATTAAAATGCCTGGGGAAAATAGTATTTTCTGTTGCTTGGCTTCAAGAAAACTTTTCCTGGGAGAGTGGTCCAAAGTAGGGAGCCACTACTGAAAAGACTATCCCTTGCTAGTCAGCCCCTATTCTTCAGTTTGTGAGGGAGCATAAAAACAAAAAAACAAGTGGGGGATTACAATGCTGCAATCCTAAATGTAAGCTCCAGCTGACACTGTGGCAATGTAATGGTTTAATAAATTATTATTTGGAAGATAAATGGATGCATGTGTCTTGTTTTGGTCTCATCAGAGAATGATGGTGAAATCTACATAAACACCCATAGTGTTTATGGCTATCCTTTTCATCAAACTGTTTGCTGAGCTTCAGCTGGGGCAGGGGAGGTGGAGGGAGTCAAGTTTCTGAATCTGTACTAGGTAGCAAAAGGCACATTAGTCTACAAGACTTGTAGTATTTTGCTATATGGACTGAAGATGGGAAGTGGGGTAAGGGAATATATACTTGCTGCATAATCTGACATACTTAATCTCATTTAAGTCAATGGGCTTCTTAAAAGCAGACCATTAACAGGAGGCAAGCAGACATTAAAATCCTAATGTATACCTGGAAAGAAAACTAAAGGAGCATTTTTATACCCATAAGCATATGAGGCTGCCACATACTTAGTCAAGGAGTCAGTGTGGCATAGTAATTACAGTGTTGTACTGGGATTCAAGAGATCCAGGCTGTAGTCCCCACTTAGTTATGAAGCTTTGGGTCAATCATTGATTCTAAGGCTAACTCACTTAACAGGGTTGTTGTGAGGATAAAATAGCGAGAAGAAGGATTGTGTAACTGTCTTGGGTTCTTTTCAGGAAAAAGGATATAAATAAATAAATTGTGGCTTACTACTTAGTAGATATGAATAGGATTGCATTAAAAAGTTTAAATTAAACCCTTAAATGTAAACCCTTAGAATGTAAAAAGACTCCCACTTAAGTAGTCGTAGAATTTCAGTCTTGATGCTTTTAGTTTGGATCGCGGTTTTATTGATTCTTGATTATCAGTTTATCCATTTATTTTGATGTGAGCTGCCCTGAGAGAATACCTAAGTTGCCCTGAAAGTGAGTATCTGTCCTGTTTTCACATAACTGCATGGAATTCTTGTCAGAATCCTGGAATCTCAATTTGAGAAGAGGGAATAAAACTCGGGTTCGCGGGAAAGATCAAGCATCCAGACCATCTAGGCTTTATTGTATTAACCCAAGGTTCCCGCAGTACTCACGATAATGCATGCATTACTGGGCAAACAAGGGTAAACTCTGCTGCAAAGCTTCAACACCATTACAGGGCATTTATACTCTCTCAGGCACAGGGCAATTGATGACAGAATGCAGAGATTACAATAAGATTCTGAGGTCATCACATGCAGAACAGATAAAGGAATTGTCAGCCAATCATACAGTAACAATGAGATTACAATATTTCTAATTGCAGTGTATTGACACTTTAGTTGAGTAACTTGAACCCATCTCCAGGTCTGCTTAGACATGTAAATTCAAGCTACTGAGAAACTATGCATGATAAACTCAAGACCCTTATCTAGACTCTAAACATTCTGAATGATCAGGGCACATGAAGCCTCTGGGCTATCAAAAGATACTTCCTTGTAAACTGAATTCCAACAATGATTATTTAATCATTGTGAAGGTGTACAATGTAAATTTGGACTAAATGGCCTGTCTACTGTAGCCCACAGCTAAAGGTGAGAGAAAGGAGCGGGGGATGAATGCCATTTTAAACAGTGACTGCTTGGTTTTGAGAAGACAGGATTTGATCCCACAATGCTAAGGCACACAGAAGTAATGCTTTTCAGACGATTTATCCAAATTTTCCCAACATTTTCCATGTAGAAAAACTGTAGCAACCCTTTGTTGATATGATGTGCTATCATCTTCAATATATGGTAATTCCACAAACTAGTGTCCCGTAAAATACCCAGTCCTTGCCATCTCATGATGTGTGTGAAGTACAACAGCCTAAATTGCATCAGCGTATTTGTTTCCAGGGCATTTTAGTTTGAGCTGATTTAGGACCCACTTGTTCATCTTCGTGTTGGTCCAAGGTATGTGTAAATATCTTCTCCAGCACCATGTTTCGAACACATTTATTTTCTTCCTGTCAGTTTAAAGAATTCTTCATTCTAGACCTGTTTGTACAATCAGCAGAATCAAATGGTAAAGCTTATCTTGGCTTATATTGGGCTTTAGATTTTGTGTACTGTCCTATGCGTGTGTGTGCGCGCGCGCACAACCTTATGTATACACAGGAAAAGCACGTGCATTTTTTGTTAGTTTTCTTATTCTGACACTGCCTATGCAGTCCGTTATCATCTCATTTTCTGGCGTGATGTCTGTGGCTGAAAGAGAACGGTTTGTAATAGCTCTGTGGCGTCATTCACAATCAAATATTTGCAAGCTGGAGTTAGGGTATCGATTTCCACTCAGAAATTCCCCTTACAAAACACCTGCGATCGCAGCAAATGAGTCTAATTCAATTTTCTCTTGATACACCCGATCCCGATTCAGTATGGCACGTAGAAGCCTCGCGATCCCCGAGTCCGCACGCGCACACATCTTTCACATGAAATAAGACCTGGACCGTTAGGAAAAGCATTATCTCCTGTCTTGGCTGCTACCATTTAGAGCCGTTGTCCAATCAGACTTAATGCTTAAGAAATCCTCGATTTCTCCATTGCTTGCGGGACGCTACTAAAGGTCCCAAGTCGACCCGGAAACTCAACACTGCGCTTATATCTAACGAGTGAGTCTATGCCAAGCGTATGGCCGCGGGGGTGGGAACTACGGCGGCGCACAGCGTGTCGGGAGTGTAGCTCTTCCTTCCGGTGCACGCCAGCACTGACGGAGGCGGCTGGAGGAGTGTAGGGGCGTCATGGCTGTGCTGTTGGAAACCACGCTGGGCGATCTGGTGGTCGACTTGTACACAGAGGAGAGGCCGAGAGGTGAGGGAGGGACCTGGGGGCATGTGGGCGCGCTCCGGCCAGGAAACATCTGAGCAGCTTCTGCGAAAGTATTTCGTTCCAGCTTTCTCTCTCTGACAGAGTTCCTGAGTTTTTAAGAGCCGCAAGGCAGGGAGAAATTGAGGTGGCTATGGTCCCCCCATCACCAGTAGAGAAGGGAGACCCTAAAGGTTATGAGTTGGATTGTACAACCTGAGAGGTTCTCCTCCCTCCCAGGATCTTTGACAATGTTGCATTGGATGCTAAGAACAATTGTGGCACATGTGTCTTTACAGATACGGCTTCCCTCATGAGACTGCATAGGTTGATCATGCAGGAGCCTTATTCAGATCTTAATAATGCACTATAACATTGCCACTCTCCTTGCTTTTGTTGTTCCTTTAGCAGCACTTTGCTGTCCATGGATTAAGCAACTGACATTTTCCTCACCACTAACTTACAGAACAAGAAGAATGTTAAATCTGTATGTTGGGGTCCAATTAAAGGAACCAAGAAGAGTCAGTTGCAAAAGGTGACAACTTTAATACAACAGATTGGATTCAGGATCTACCTTACAAGGAGGGAAGGACTCCACTCACTGCAACTGATCTTAGGGGATCCATGTACACTTCAGCTTACTCTGCTAAGCATGATCTCCCACCATTGCAGCCTTTTCAGAGGGCTGTAGACCTACTGGCACAGGGATGAGGTGGCAAGGTCAGCTTTCATTAGCTCAATTGTATGTTCCTAAACCTGGATCTAATCCAGTATCTCCCAATGCTCTCAGAAAGGGAGAATATTGAACTACAACTCTAGTAAATCATAGCCAGCATAAGCACTGGTGAGGAAAGATGGGAGTTGTAGTCCAGAAGCATCTGGAGAGCCACAAGTTGCCCATCTCTGTTTTCAGTTGAAGAGAGCTGAAGCGCAAACATGTCAGAAAGTTGCAGTACATCACCTGAAAATCATCTTTAGCCTTACCTATCTGAAGTAATTATCTAGTCAGGCTCCATTTTCCTCTCCTCCTTTGATAGTTTCTACTGCATTAGACTGTAAACTCCTCAAAGTAGGGACAGGACTTCTTGTACTCTTTAAAGCATCACAATGAAAACAGTCATATAGGAATGGACTGTAGTCATTTTTTAAAACTAAAGGGAAAGTATTCTGTATATGCTCTAATGTGCCCCCCTGTATCAACATAACATATTTGTGGTTTGCATTAAGGGAAGAATAGTTTCATATCAAGCTTTGCTCATAGCTTCTTTTATGTTCATACTCTGAGCATCATACTTGAACTATTATTTCATTCAAATGAGTTTTTTATGTTGGCATTTGAATTCAAGGTTATCACTCTAGCCTGGATGTTCATTTTCCATAATCTTCCTGGAAAATTTAATAGTATCACATTTGTTTCCAAAGGCTATTCTTCAGGCTGTTTTAGGTTAACTTTTAAAAATGGATTAGGCTTCATTTTTAATAAAAATATTAAAAATAATAAAAATTATTAAAAATAAAAAATGCGCAATCTGTTTCAATTGTCTTAAATTTCTTGCAGCGTGTCTGAATTTTCTAAAGCTCTGCAAAATCAAGTACTATAATTACTGCCTTATACATAATATACAGGTAAGACTTTGTGGCCAGTTTTTTCTCTAAATGTTTTCTTCTTGAGCATTTAAAGTACAGCTTTAGAAGTGTACGTTGTATGTTAGATAAGTAAGTAAATCTTCCGTCCAGCCATATGCATTGTCTGCTCCATTCAGTTCATAACCTCATCTGTAAAAGGGGAATCGTGGCAGTACAAACCTGTTCATACAGTTGTAAGGACAAATAATTCTGTTAAACCCTTTACAAAATGCTATCTAAGGGCACAACACTATGCAAGTTTAGATAGAACAAACACCCTACAGTTCAGCATCCCTCCAGCCAGCATGCTGAGAATTGTAGGAGTTTGTTTTGTCTACACCTTCTTAGGATTGCTGCCTAAATAATTAGAATGATAAGAAAGATTAAACTTTTTATATGTGTTTTGCATTGGTTCAGAGAGATTTTATCATACAAACTGGAGACCCCCAGGGGACTGGCCGTGGAGGTGAATCCATTTTTTGGTGAGTATTATTAGGTTTCAGTCCTATGTACACTTATCAGAAAGTGAATTCCTTGAAACAGTGGGATGTCTACCCAAATAAACATGAGTTGGATTGAGCTGGTGTATTTAGAAAAAGCTCCAGTTGGAAGACTAATATATCTCATCTTGCCTGCTTCATGATCAGTTATTTCTATACTAACTTGTTTAGTTTAGTCAACTAGCCACTGGTTCTGCACAAGCTGGTTTTCTTTGTGAGAAACTTTTAGGAGCAATTGTGTCCTATACTATAACGTTATTTTAGATCCTTTAAATTAGCAACAAGGCCATGCATTAGAACATTTGTAGACTGGCTTCTTGTTTTTAGTAGTACAGTCATTAAGAAATAAATTGAACAGATTGCTGATGCAGCTGTTGTTCACAAACATGTAGCTATAAATGTTCTTATTAAGTCACTTCATTTTGTATCTCATAGAGACAGAATATTTCTTTTGTGAAATTTTATAACTATTTGATTACTTGTTTGTTTCAGCAAATTGTATGGTGATCAGGCTAGATTTTTTGAAGCAGAAAAAGTACCAAGAATTAAACACAAGAAAAAGGGGACAGTGTCACTGGTGAACAATGGCAGTGATCAACATGGTTCTCAGGTTAGTTATCATCGGAAAAGTTTTGACAACACTTTGGGATAGGGGTGAGATAAACATTTTATTTCATTGTACTGTAATATTTTGTTGTAATGGCTGCCCAGAGAGCATTGTGCTAATGGACAGCTTTTATACAAATTTAATAAATAAACATTTTCCATTGGTGCCACAGAGAATGAAAATACTGGTCTGAAAGGCTATAACTTATGCATGTGGCGAACTTTCAAGAGATTAAAGTGCCTGATTATACAGTCAGTGATCATATTCTTTGTGGCTTTTCTGGTAACTTATGATGATACTCCTCCTTATCATCATCATCTCATTTCTGTACCACCCCATAACCAACTTTCTGGCAAGTTTACAACAAGTATTTACAAATATTTGAGGTTGATTAGACTGAGGGATAATGACTGAACCAAGACCAGTCAGTGAGCTCTATGGCTGAGAGGAGATTTGAGGAATTCAAAGAATACTTCTCCGGAAAAAACAGCAGCCTCTCACTAGCAGCTTCTGGAACTTGCCCTCCAGGGAAGAGTGTATCAGCCACAATGTGGACAGCAAACCAATCCATATAAACCATATAAAACAGATCCTAAAATAGACGAATATCTCCATCATGGTATTAATTATAAATGATTTTACTCTCTTGTCTTTTAGTTTCTAATTACTACAGGAGAGAACTTGGATTACCTGGATGGTGTGCATACGGTGTTTGGTGAAGTTACAGAAGGCATGGATGTATTGGGGAAAATCAATGAAGCTTTTGTTGACAAAGATTTTGTTCCATATCAGGATATCAGGTTTGACTGTCTTGCTTTTCTGTTTTACAGTAAGAAGTAGCATGATGTTAGACGATCTTTGCTGGGTCATATGAAAGGTCCAGCATGCTGTTCCCAACAGAAACCTGCTAGATGTCTCTGGGAAGCCCACAAACAGGCAGTTGAAAGCTCTTCTCTCCCAGCAAAACACGCTCAGTACCAGAATGCCTCTCCCACTAGGCATGCATCCTGCATCACGGCTAATGCATTTTGACATATCCATGAAAATGTCTTTCATAGCTTTTTAAACAAGTGGCTGTGACCTTATTCTATGGCAGTGAAAGCTATAAAAGAATTTTCCATTGCTGCATGAAGTACTTTCTTTTGTCTATCTTGAAATTACTATAAAACAATTTAATAGGATATTTCTTTGTTAGGGCTACATCTGTAGAGGAACAATCAAATGAATGGGATAGGAAAAGAAGTTTTAGCCAAAATAATTTTGAACTCTGTACTAGGATTTGGACTTTCTTCCAAAAGTTGCCAGCTTGCATGGTCCATGGGAACATACAGCAGTTCTAGATGGTACAACAGCATTCTGTGCGCTGCCTGCTCTGACATGCATCCCTGGCAACAAATCTGATTCAGTCCATAGACCCTAGAAGTAATTTACCTGATTGTGAGCGGGTGTGTTTTTCAACAAATGCCTATGGTTGAAAAATTAAATGTCACATGATAGTAACGTGATGAAATACACGCTTGACATACTGCATTTCTTATTTAGGATAAACCATACGGTAATCTTAGATGATCCATTTGATGACCCCCCTGGTTTAGTGATACCAGATCATTCACCAGAGCCTACGAAGGAACAATTGGATGTGAGTGTTGCTTTCAACTTTTTGGATGTTGAAAGAGGGTGGGGTATAGGAGGGAAATCAGGAAATATAAGAATAACCCCAATGTGCATACACAAGTTCTTCTCTTGATGTCTGTTCAACAGATGCAAAAACAAAAGGGGGCTACCACCAAAAAATGGGAGGAGATCAAAATGAGGCGATCCATTTAATGAGTAGCAGGTAGAAAATGTACTGCCAAATAAATGGTTTGAGCTGCAGTTTAACATTTAGCTACAGTAATACTTTTTTCCACTTTCCACAGAGAAGTTTTTGAAAGGAGGGGTGTTTCCTAGAGAGAAACTCATTGTTTTCTCTATCTTCCTCCCTGTTCAACAAGTAATATGACAAAAACAAATCACAACACTTTAGTTAGAGATTAGTGAATACCCCTGATGGATTGGAAATAACAAATTGTGATGTGTAAGAATTCATATTTTCAAGAAGAAGAATGTTAGCGCTGACATAAGTGTCATTTTTGACAATTTCTTCCATTTGTTTTTGGAACACATGGCAACCCACACCCCATCTGCCAAAATATGAAGATATGATACACATACCTGTGTTTTTCCACAGAAGGCACATGTTTGACTAAACCTCAGAATCAGTTTCAAAGAGCAAGTATCTTCACTGGGAAAGATGCTGTTCAAGCCACATTGAACGGGCTCACATGTCACAGCAAGCAACACTGCTCTGTTTCTGTGGTGCACAGATTTTTCCCTCAACCAGCTGGTCAGATGTTTGTATGAGTCCCACAGGAAAGTGATTTCTGTGCTCACCCTCCCACTCTTGTCATGCATCTCAACAAAATGCCCTTCTGCACTGTTCCTCATGAACCTCAGCTGCTGCTGCTTGATTGGTCCACTGAGGTTTTGAAGTGGGTTCTTCCTCTTCTGCCTCCCCAGTGTACCTCTATCTCTGTAATAGGTCCTAGCCACTCCAGCCCTCAAAATGTTTTTTAATTAAACACTTTTGCCACAATTTCCCTCTCTGCATTCATCTACTTTCTCCTTGTTTCAGAGCATAAATAAGGTGATGGCACATTGCTTAGCCAGTAGCAAGCCAATGTAGTGTTCAGGGTGTTAGACTGGGGACTTGGTAGATCCAGATTCTAGTCGCCACTTGGCCATGGAGCTAACTGGGTGACTTTGGCCCAGTCACAGACTCAGCCCAACCTACCTCACAGGGTTGTCGTAAAGTTAAAATGGAGTGCTTTGGATTCTGCACAGGCCGAAAAAAGGTGGCATATAAATGCAGTGTGATAAGAATGCAATGTAATAAGAACAAAAGGAGTTATGATTTGAGTTTTGCTAGGGAGCTATGAGTAGTAGAGATTGCATGGCTAGGCCTCCATTGCTACTCTTTACACAGGACTCTATGGTAGTAAATAGTGCTATTGATAGTAAATAGTGCTTCCAGGTCCAGGCGTGCTAAAGCATGGAAACCTTCAGAGAAACTGTTGCATTTCTCCCTGGTTTCAGGAAACCCAACATACTGTACTAAAATGCTGAGACCACTGTCTGATGATTTGCCAGATCAACAACAGTAAAATTCACCATGGCTTCTTGTGATGTGCAGCTTGGCATGTATACAAGTGCACATCTTAAATTAGAGATGTATTTGCATAAACCTGCTAAAATTCACATACCACCTTGGTGTTAGAGATATCTTTGCACCTGGTTACCAGAACTCTTCTAATCCTGTTTGAGGTTGTAGAATGGTATTTTTGGATACTGCCCAAGGTATGGTCACTGACTAAATATTAAATAATTATTTTTATATAAGACAGAGTGGAAGAATAGGAGCTGATGAGGAAATTGATGACTTCAAAGGAAGGTCCGCTGATGAAGTGGAAGAAATTTTGGCAGAAAAAGAGGCAAAAACTAAGGCTATTCTTCTGGAAATGGTAAGTATGGCTTACTTGATTGAAGTAATACTTTCAGATGTTCATTGGCTTTAGATGAAAATAAATAATGCAGATGCTACACTGGATCTGTGCTCAGGACTGCATGCAAAGATTCAAATTCTGACTCAGTGCGAAAGCTTTGGCAGCTCTTTTGTCTCTTGAAAACAAGAGACATTATCCTGTAATGAGAAGCAAAGACAAATGAGAGCTTTTATGCATGCTAAAAATATTGCATGCGTCATACTTACAACTTCCTGCCCAGATCCGATTAATGAGATACACATAAATCAATAAGCTTCAGTGTGTCTATCACTTGCTGGATCAGGTACCCTGATCCACTTGAAAGTACTTTATGTTTGCAGGCGTAAATCAAATGCCCCCCTGAATCTTTCACTTTACTGGGTGGCCTGTCTGAGGTGGAGTGATAATGTGGGCTCTGATCCAAGTTCTCTGCTCTGATCCCAAAGTAGATTGCTGGCAAGTCCCATGCTGCAGCCCTGAAGTCTCCAGCAATGGTGCTCATGGATAGCAGTGTGCCCATAGATGCTTTTCTCTGTGCCAGCCAATTGCCCCTTCAGATTTTGAGTTTATTCCTGAAGCTGTTTAAGTGATTTTATTTTTAACCATGGTTTTGTTAAGCTGCAAATAAGTGTTGCCCTTTAGCACAGTCTTTATTTTAGTTTAAAAGAGTGGCTTTGAATTTTTGAGCTCAGACCACATTTCTGCCTTTCAGTTAGGCTACTGGGCAGGTTACTTTCCTTCTGCTCTCACTACTTGTCTTCTGGGAAATTAGTGTTCGTTGACCAGCCGTGCCTACAAGACAGTCATTTTATCAGTGGGCAAGTCCTTATGACAGGCATTTTGTGAGAGCACTCAAAAAATCCTTTCTTTGTACCACTCTTACTTTAGAATGGCAACTTGTAAGGCCAGTTTTTAGTCAAAATGCGGCTGTTTTCCATCTCTAGTTTAGTGTAACAACTTGGATTGTACTTTTAGAGTAAGGAGAAGAAACTGAACACCATGACTTTCAACTCTGGCGCTAAGCATTTTATATGGACTTGCACTAGTTGACTGTTGGTTATTTATACCACGGGACAGTAGCTTTCTTTGCATGATAGGTTTGTTGCATGGCTTCCATGTGCCTTTTCTGTTGAGCAGACAAATTTGAGATGTAGCTCCACCAATGTAGCTCCACCACTCTACCACTGATGGCCCAGCATCCAGCTTCAAGGAAGTGGAGAATCTGGAACTAGCCCCTTTATGCATGTAGCCTAAAGATGACTGTTAAGGCAGCAGACCTTAATGGCTAAACATCCTGGTATTTTGGAGCTTAAATGAAGGCCCTTAACATAGTATGTTAAACTGAAAGTGTTTCTGTTAATTAATGAACTTTAAGATGACAGTAGCCTTCCACTGTTTGTCAGTTGGAATCAAAAAGCATTGAAAGCTAAGAGGGTATAAACTATTGATTTTTTACCTTTTTCAAACTTCTGAATAATTATGGGCAATTTCATGTGTGGTTTACATTTTCCCTAACCTTTCCTGTAAAAACATGTTTTGTATGTGGTGGAAACACATCATGTCTTCATGTGAATGGTTAGAGAATCTGTATAAGGTAGAACTATGGTCTTCTCATATCACTTTTCTACTTCAGGTTGGAGACTTGCCCGATGCAGATATCAAGCCGCCTGAAAATGTTCTTTTTGTCTGCAAGCTTAATCCTGTGACAACTGATGAAGACCTTGAAATTATATTTTCCCGCTTTGGGTCAATAAAAAGGTAATTGTAGAACGTCTGTGCAAGAAAAATAAGTTAGCCAATCTTATACAAATCCTTCTATCCCTGAAATGCTATTTACATTTCTTTCAGTCATACTTCTTAAGCCTACAAATTAAGAAGCCTTAGCAGAAAAAAATGGTGCTAGTAGCTTGAAGTGGGGAAGTTGCCATGAAAGCTACCTATCTTTTAGCATCTCAAGCAAAAGCTGTATGTCAAAGACATGGACTTGCATGTTTTTCTACAATGACATTTTTGTTCACTTTATGCTGGATGCCCGTCCATCTGTCCGTCCGTCCGTCCTTCCTTCCCCTTTTCTTGCCTACTTTTAAAATTATTTGTTACTTCTTTCAGTATGTTCAATTTCAGTGTGAAATGTAGCTCATTCTATGAGACAAGAGTTCATAAGTCACCTCTTGCTGGTAAAGAATTTGACATAATTCAACCTCCAGTATGAAATACCTGGTGAAAGACCCTCATTAGACAAATAACATGGTCTTTTTGGTTTTTTAGTTGGGTCAAAGTATTGTGTCCCACTTCATTATGTTGCAATTATATTATTGGAACGATCTGTAAAGTGTAACACACCTTTCTTTTGCATCCCAAATAGTTGTGCTCATGAGGCAGGAAGTACTGTACTGTTATTTATTGGCATATGTACCAATGTGGAGATATATTTAAAGTTTAGTATGCTTTCTTTTCAGGTATATTTGGCTAATCCCAGTAATGTTTGCTGACTCTGCTCGTTCTGCTTAACTAATTCCTATTAGTTTCCCAACCCACAAGACATTCATTTGTATGAAAAAGTACTGATTATATACAACTTCCACTCTTAAGAGGCCTGGATAATATCTGGAGCTGTTTAACACCCATATTTGTAAATTTGTTTTATGCAAGTTTTTATTTTATTTATTTATTGCATTCCACCCAATAGCCCAGTGGGCTCTCTGAGCAGTTTATAATTCTTTAAAAAATATATAACAACCATACAACAATACATTTAAATAAACAAAAATGATAAAACCAGTGCAACAAAAATGGTCAACCTACACCGATTAAGATAAATTGAATACACAGCATAGCAGTGACATAATAAAAACAGTTCTTATCTATTGAAATAGCTAGCAAATTAAAAGATATTCACATGGTGCTGAAAAGAAAACGATGGCGCCAGGCGCATCTCCTTAAACCATGTTCCAAAGAGAGGGTGTAACTGCTGAGAATACCCTTCTCCTGGTTATCACCCCCCCCCCTTCCTTACTTCTTTTGAGGGTGGTTTCCTGAGAAGGACCTCTGCAAATCATCTTAGGGTCTGGGTAGGAATGTATGGCGCTAGGTGTTCTTTCAGAAGTTGAGCTTCTCTACTGCATCTTTTGTGGTTTATTAAAGAGCTCCATATTCCTTTTTTAGACCTTGGTGAGACCACTAATATGAAAGTGATCTGTGTGAGTGGATCTTTTCCTGAAGTGTTATTTGGGTGCAGTTCTATGCATGTTCAGGAAGAAAAAAGTTGATCAGCTCAGAGAAGGCTGCAGCCAGGCATGCTGGGAATTGTAGGACTTTTTTTTTTTTTTGGTCTAAGCACGCACAGGATTACTAAAGAGGTTTCTTATCCATTTCCATTTTAAATGTTAACAGTGTCTGCCAAACAGTTGTTGTTGCCCTGCTAATTCCAGAACAAATTGTTGTGCTAATCTTTCAGCTGTGAAGTGATTCGAGATTGGAAGACTGGTGAATCTCTCTGCTATGCTTTTATTGAGTTTGAAAAGGTATGTGGGTTTGGAAATACGCTGTAACTTGATTGTATTCTAGCTGTGTAAGGAGATTTATCAAATATGTTTACAATCCGTTTTTCTTTAAATCTTTTGATATGCTACCTTACCCAAAAGAAGTAAAGTTGTTTATAACATTCAAAACATTAATTCAAAATCTCCACAGTATTTTAAATCGAAACATCCTTTGTTATGATGTTTAGTCAGAATGACTAAATTCAGATATTTTCAGAATGAAAGTGTAACCTGATACTGAATGTTACGTTTATTTCAGTGTAAATATCTGCAGTGATAGACAGAACATCAGAAGAGCTGTGTTGGATTAGACCAAAAGCCAGTCTAGTCAAGCTGGTTCCAGCAGTAGCTAAAGATAGGTCTCATGTGTTTGGTAGCCTGGGAAGTTCTACTACTTCGTGCTATTGACAGTTATTCCTATTTATGTGCTGATGTGAGATGATGCTTATTAAAATTAATTTTATTTTACCTTTCCTTAAAAATGTGCATCAGGAGGAAGACTGTGAGAAAGCTTACTTTAAGATGGATAATGTGTTAATAGATGACAGGCGGATACATGTGGATTTTAGCCAGTCTGTTGCAAAGGTTAAATGGAAAGGAAAAGGTAATTTTACACTTCATAGCTGTCATTTTTTTATTTTAACGTCTTGTTTGATCGATGTTGTCAGTTATGCCTTAGAAAAAGCACACAGACATCTGCTTTTAATATAGATGGTGTTCATACCTAATTAGAAATGGGTTCTCTTTGCTGTCAGTGTTCTATAAAGGCACATGCCATATTTTCCAAGTAGGTAGTATCTCATATATGTGCTTGTGCAGAATATTAAGCTGGCTAGATAAAATGCCTGCTATGTTTGAAACCGCTTCTCTCAGAGCAGGACCAGAGATGGAGCTGACAAGCAACTGGCATGGGGCAGAGGTACTACTATCTCAGTCTTTTAAGGCTCCTCTGTCAATCTCATTGCCTGAGTTTCTTTCAGGATTTTGAAGGACAACGTACATCATAAGTGAAATGGCCAAAGGACACATGGATGTCCTCAACAGTTCAGACTGCTGTTAGGGTGGTGAACATACAGAAGAGTTCTGTATGCACCTGAGTGTATTCTTCTGCTGTGCTTAAGAATCCAAGCAAAAAGAGATGAAAGACTTCTATAAAAGGAGTTTCTTCCTGATTTTAGTTGAAGATTGGAAACCTTAACAGTAAGCTGTTTGGCTGTATAATAAACAGGTTCTGGAGGTGGCAGGTTCTCCTTTGTTGCAGGTATTTAAGCAAAGACCACATGGCCATTTGTCATGTATGCTATAACTGCATAATGCATTAGGCAGGGTGATCTCTAAGATCCCTTTCAACCCTATTACTCTTTCACTTTTCCCACTTTATTTGGCAAGGCCTGTCTCACTCGTTCCTCTTACTAGTTAGTGTGAAACACTGGATTTACTAAATATTTAGCCACTAGTATTGGCATTCCAGCTTGAACCATAAGATGGCAGTGCATACTTAAAGGTACCCACTCCTAGGTTTTTAGCAGTGTGTGTTTGCTTGTTTTTTGAATGTGTATACTGAAATGAGTTAACTGTTGCTATTACAAAATTAGAAAATGAAATTATTCTGGTGTCAAATGCATATTATAAAGTATAGAGGGTTTGTTAGTGAGGTTTCAGCTCACCTGTACCCCTACCACACTGGTATTACATGGCCATACTCTTCTAGAAAGTGAGCAATGTTCTGCCCAGTAGCAATTGAGTTGGAGAAAATGTGCATGGCATCTATTTTAATACTTTATGGTGTGGACTGGAAACTGATTTTACTGGAAGAAAAGCAAAAACAAAAAATGAAATGCTAAAGCCCACATTCATAGCCAGACTGGTTGCATCCTCCTTCTGAAACTGCTAAACTCCCCATCCCACTCCTCTTCTAGGTAAGAAAAAAGGAGAGGCGAGAAGGCAGGCCTGTTTCTCATTTTGCCTCCATGGGGAGATACCAGAGAAGCAGACATAGAACGTAAGAGAAAGTTAAAGGCAAAACTCTTACTGCCTTCCAAACATTTAGTCTCTTTGTTGGTAGGGAGGAAGTTGCAGCAGGAATCCAAGTGAATTAAGTAATTAAGGTAACTGTACTACTGCCCTCTAGCAGAAGAAGCAAGGTCCTTGATATTCCTGAATTAGGATCACTAATTAGGATATCTAATTAGGATCACCCATTAAATGCCTAGAAGAGTGATATTCAACCTGTTCTGGAGAAGGTTATGTTTCTACTCATTCTTGATCCTGCATTGTCACTAGAGGCACAGATGAACCTGGTGGCACAGAGCACCTAATGCATCCTTTTTTTGGACAGGGATAACCTAGTTCAGGCTATCCATGCTCTAGTAACCTCTTATGTGGATTACTGCGGTGTATGGGGCAGCCTTTGAAAATGGTCTGGGAACTTCAGCTGTTTGCAAATAGGATAGCAGGAGTGCTAACAGACCTGTATGATATTATGCCATGGCTTTACCATCTGCACTGGCTGCCAGTCCAGACCTAATTTAAAGTGCTGGCATTAACATTCAAAGCCATACATGATTTTAGGCCAGGTTATCAGAAGGCTATCTTTTCCCATAAATACCTATCTGGAGCCTAGGAGTGACCTCTGTGGTCCTTCTCTAAGAGGTGCTGCCAAAGGAGGATGGCTCCTGAGAAGAGAGCCTTTTCTGTTATGCCACCCCAGTTATGGAATGAGCTTTCTAGAGAGGCTTGCCTAGAACCTATGTCGTGCTGTTTCCAGTGCCAGGTAAAATCCTTCCTGTTTCCCCAGGTATTTTAGTCTTTCAGTTTCTGCTTGAAATTTGTTACCATACTTTAAATATTTGCTCCTAAACATTGCTTTGATTTTTAGTTCTGTTTTATGCTGTAGTTTTAAACTTTCGAATATATCTTATGTTTTATTTATTATTTGAAAATGTTGTGAACCACTTTGGGAGTGTTGGCATTAGTTGGTATATAAATGTATTAAATAAAATTAAATATATTTAAAATTGTAATTGTAAGGTGTTTTTGTTAGTGTTGATTTACAGAAATAGCTAGTATGTCAGATCTGGCTGGCAAGACAGATGGACTCTTGTCATTGTTCCAAGTTCATGTTGGATTTTCTCTAATATGTTATATTAGGTTTCTCTAATAAGTTTCTCTTGCAAACATATCTCTATTCTCGTAAACAGGTGGGAAGTACACCAAAGATGATTTCAGAGAATATGAAAAGGATCATGAGGGAACTTCTAAGTTAAGTCTGAAGGAGAAGGCAAAGCCAAAACAAGAGTATCCATAGCACCTTAAGAATTGTGCGTTACACTTGAAAAATGTGATTGCTATGCTATAATTTGTGAAGAAAAGCATTCGGGACATTTAGCATATATTTCTAGTTCATTGGAATAATTTTATCTGTCAATTTAAACATAAAATATTTTTAAAATCCATATAGTTTCCGATAAACCTGACAACTTGATTATAAAGGTATTTTATTTTTATGTCAGTGAGTAGATCTTGTAAATATTTACATTCAATCATATAAGCTCAGTAACTTTTTTGGAAGGGCTGGTTGTACTGATATATATATATTCCCTTATTCCCTACATAATTGTGCATGTGTGACCATGCAGGCACATATACATATGTACAAAGTAGTGCTGACTTAAGTCTGACTTGGATTTAAAAATTGCATATAATGCACTGGAAAATTTCTACAAGTGAAAATTTCTACATATTCTACAGACCTTTCTTACTTTTTGTCCAAAACACAAGAAGCACAGTTTAATGTTTGTTAGCGCAGATGGAAGTTTTATGGGATGAGAAAAAATGAGCAATTTCTTTCTTTCCAGCTGTGATTGGAAACACAGTAGTTGACACTAGAAAAAAGGCTTCCACACCAAAACTCCTAATATTTGTATTCTATTTCCCATATGGACTGAGCAGATCATATGGTAAGTATTCCCACCAATGCTGCATCTCCTTGAAGTCTGGTCATACTCTGTGTGGATAGTCTTACTGTACAACCTGGCTGAACCATGTAGGAGAACAATGTTAAATGCTGTTACATGGGCTCAGTGCCATCATCAAGCAGAAACATCTTTTAGCAGCTATTGTGCTCTGTTCGTTATGTTCTATTAGATACAAAATAGAAAATTTGGGATTATTTCTGATTGTGCATGTATGTATGAACAGGATAGATTAAATACTGTCCAGTTAGAATTATATAAATTTAACCTAATTACACAGATGGACTAAAGTAGTTAGTAGTTCAATTCAGTTTCATTCTCCAGGTTCTAATCACTCATATTTATCCTTGATAGTACTGCAAAGTTATTAATTCTTTTGGACTGTACTTGCCATCCTGTTGAAACACCATTTCTGTGCTGATGCGGCCCTCCTCCCTGCTGTCACCTCTCATATGATATAACTAAATTCCAGTTGTTCCTTAACTGTCTGCTATAGCTCAAAATATGATCTTGTGTTGGAGGACAAACTAGAAAAGACCAAAATAAGTCACAGGCACTCTAGCAAAAAGAAGAAGAAACGCCACCATTCAGATGACACTGATGAAGATGAGAAGAGGACCAAAAAATCTAAGGTACTGGACTCACCCTTTCAATTTAACAGCATGTTTTAATGCGTCATTGCTGTTTGAAGGAAAAATAAGGTAAATTAGAGCAGCTCTTTTTAATCTTGCTTAATAATATCTTGTAGTTAGGAAATGCTCTAACAAACATTTCCATGTTGACCTTTTCTTATCCTGCTGCACTCTAGTGCCATTGTATCTTGATGGGGGCACTTATCCCCCATCTCTCTGTTCATTCTTTTTCTGTTTGGCTCGGTATGCTGTGCAAGGAAAAACTGCCCCAGGCTATAACTACCCACCATATTAATTTCCCCAGAGATGTCTGAATCCCATGGATCCTCTAGAATTTGCATGATTTTTATATGCTCCTCACTCCAAACTACTATCATGTTAGAGTTTTCATTGATGTCCATAGCTAGAAAATAGAAATTACATATCTAGAATTTGCCAGTGTGACCATGCCACAAAAACATGGATACAAAGCATGGTTATTATTCCTTATTCATGGGACACTTTATTTAAAACTGTGGCAGTGAGTTCATTCATTAGACAGTGAGATAATCCATGTATATGTGATGACAATGGGTTTCTGTTGTATGTGATAACAAAGGCTTTGAGAACTACATTCATTGCTACAACATCTAACCAGAAAAAAGCCAGAACACAGGACTCTGTACAACAAACCGCAACCTTAAAATGCACATTTTCTTCACGTAATGATATGGTGTGTCTAGTCACTTGCTGGAAAACTGAGGATTTCAGGAAAAGAAACTGTAAAGCAGTTTCTTTACAGCCACCACAATTCTTTCTGCCTCGGCTACGAGGAAGGAGGGGAGGGCACTCTAGGGTTGGAGTCAGGCTTTCTAGGTTAAAACTGAAACTTCAACCTCTCCGGCAGCCTTCTAGACTGTCTAGTGGTCATGATTGCATTTCTATTCTTCTTTTCAGAAGAAAATAGTTCATAATCAAAATAATTAAGTTTTCCTATCTTTTAGGGGAAAAGAGCCCTTGGAGGTCTTTTTCCTAATTACTATATCCCCTCCAGGCTTTAACATCTGTAATGTGGGAAGGAGCAGCATTAATGAAATAATGCCATACTATGAAATACAAAAGATAAGACAAGACAGGTATATTATAGTAGTGAGAGTGCACATTTAGTTGGAAGGAAGGCTTACCTGGACTGAAGATTCCAAGTAAAGAGTTAAACAAAAGAGAAGATAGCTGGTAGATGGTATACTACTAATTCTCCAGTTTTGTCTTCATTAAGTTTCTTTCCACTTGTTTTGTTTCTGATGGTTTTGATATTTCTGTGCTATACCATGTACTTTTCTTTTTCAGCTTTTGACAGTTTCAAATACGTAACTTAAAAATCACCAGTCTGTGATTCTGCTAATCTCCCATTTTTAACTTGTGACTAATATAAGTTACTTTGATTTAACACCAGATTTTTATTTTTATGTTGTTAAAAGGAGAACTACATTTTATAACCATTTTTTGTGTATTTTTGCTTGTTGAGTACAGGCAGTATTTTTGGTCTAAGAAATTTGACTTGAATACTTACAGAACAAGTTTGTGTGTATGTATGTGTTTCTTTTCTTTTTTTTAGTATTGTTTAGGAACTTTGTATGTAAACTGCTGCCATTTTTTACTTAGTCCCATGTACAGCAGAAGTGAAAATCTAAACCTGCTTTAAAAGTGTACATAAACGTGGAAAGAGATTGCATAAAAGTAGAATTAGATTGCGTAAGTACAGTGATGTGCACTGTACTGTGATGTGTATACATCTCACAAAAGATAAAGAGATGGAGAAATTATGATAGGGAAAACCCATGACACACTAAGGAAAGGGTAAGTTTAATATTTTGATCTTTTGGAAAATTACCATAATACCACTTTACTTCTCTATTCTCTTGCCACACCAGGTGGCCTTTGTACCTGTAGTCTAATTATATAGAGTTCAAAAATGAATGATGTAAGCAATTCAGTTCAGTTATAAATTGATGATAATGGGTCTGTTTTGGATCAAGAATAAGCAGAGAATAGGCTATCATGGATTTATTTTTAGGTGAGATTGCCCAGAACATAGTATGGAATGGAAATGTTGTTGAATCACTTGGAAACAGTGACCAGTCTATTAGATTTAATATACAGATAGGTGGAAGATTGCTAAAGAAATCCAACACCGTTGCATTGGCCTTCAAAAGAGGGCAGTTGTCTAAAACAAGGGAGCTGTTAAAAAGGAGTTGAATTGGGGATCCAAGAAGGTTTAAGCCATGGGTCCTCAGACTACGGCCCGCAGGACAGATCTGGCCCACGCAGCTGTTCGCCACACGCGCTTGCTGCACGGCCGGGGAGGTGGTGGCTTGCTCGCTCGCAGTTGGTCTCTGAGCGAGCAAGCTGCTGCCGCCGCCTGCCTCCTGTATGCATGCGCTTGCCGCTGCCTCGCAGTGTGGGCGGGGAGGTGGTGGCTTCCTCACTTGGAGATGGTTTTGGACTCACTGGGAGATCCCCAAGCGAGCGAGCCACCGCTGCGTGTGCCCGATGCCGCCTCACGTGTGCCTGATGGCACCTCACCGGCCTGCGCCCCCAGGCATCCCCACCTCCCTGGCCCATGGCGGTCACCACAGCCTTTCAACTGGCCCCCTATTCAAACAGTGTGAGGACCCCTGGTTTAAGCCTTTGAAATAAAAGAGGCACACTTATTGTGCAAACAAAAAGTGAGGAAAGGTAGCACAAAGTCCAAGAGGTCACCAGCATGGTTACCAAGTAGAGACAAGGCAACTATTAGCAGGAAGAAAACTTCCTTTAAATTTTAGAATTTGTGAAATCTTGCCCAAATCCAGGAAACAAAAGGGGGCACAAGTTTGTGCAATGGGGAAGGTAGCAGACAATACGAGAAGCAAAGAAACATTGCGAAGAGCATATCGCTGAAGAGCCTGGGCACGGAGATCTCTTGTACCCATCCTTCTTGAGAGATACTATGCTCAGCTGGTTTTCCATTGTACAAACAGAGCACCAGACTATATAGCCCATTGGTCTAATTCAGCATGTCCTTATGTTTCTGGAGCTGGTCCCTTCCCTCCTTCCATCTGATTCCAAAAGTCAAAAACAATCCTTTGTTCTTTCATTGTAATTGCACAGATAACAGTTTGGGTTCTAAACCGCCTTCTACCAAAGCTCAAAAGAGAAGCCTCTGCTCATGTAAAGAGGTAAATCCAAAATGGAAGCTTTCCCACAGTCCCTCCCTTTCAGTGAAGCTTCTGGCTCTACCTTGAAGGTGGCTCTTCCTGCTGAATAGTAAGAGGAGTGAACAGAGTAACCCCTCCAGTTGAGCAGCTCATTTCTTGCAGTTTCTTGCATATCTCTTCACTGGGTCAAGGACTGCATCTTGCACCTGCTCCACCTCCCCTCCTGAAAACCCTCCCCACCTTGGCCTGAGAAACTTCACTCAGGCACATACACACCTGAAACTTCACTCAGGGAGACCTTGCTAAGTGGAAGGCTGCTTGTGCACCTGAGCTTTTCCTGCACTCCGCAAAAACCTGGCTGAACAGCATGGTCAGCATTGCACAGGGAGAGGGAATTGCTCCAGATAGGAAAACTCTTGAACTAGTGACACCCCCTGCACAGTCCCCTGCAAAGCAACAAAATCTGTTCAGAAAAGCCCCTCAGCCCCTGCCCCCATAACGGGTATGTGGGAGCTGGAGAAGGAAGCTAGGCTGCCCTCCAACCAATTACAGAAAATGAATGCCATCTTACTACATCTTACAATGGAACCTCTATTCTTTACATTCCTCTTGAAAAGAATTCTGTAAAAAACATTAAGTATATCAGAAGAGCAAAACCAGTTAGAGAGGCAGTTGATTGAAGAATTAAAGGAAAAAAGGAGATAGCAGAGATGCTGAATGAACAGCTACTTGTTTTTGAATTCATGTATTCAGAAGGGCATGATATTAAGCAGATAGATGGTAGCAATTCTCAGCCTCATTGACGAACTGAAAGTAAATTAATCAAAGTGCCCAGATGGTAACTATCACAGAGTTCCTAAAGGGCTCAAATAGGAAATTGCTGACCTTACAAAAATAGGTAGTATATCACTAAGATCAGCTTCTATATCAGAGGTCTGAAGAATGGCCAATGTGAAACCAATTTTTAAAAAAGGATCAGGGAGCAGAGGTTGTGGGAAATCATGGACTGGTTAGCTTAACATCTGTTCTGGATAAATTGTTGAAAGCATTATTGGTCTATTCCAGAATGGCTCTTCTTATGTCTTTAAAATCTCTGTTACACAGAAGAACACAATAGTTTTGAGTGATGAGAATCCACAAGTAGGACATGGATGCCGCAGTGCCGTCCTGCCAGGTGGACCTGCAACTGGTGCATGCAGACATACTGCCACCAACAGGGCAATTTCATTGAGTGGTTTGAACATTGCTCCTCTTTTTCATTTTGAAATTGGATAGGACTCCTCCCATTGCTTCCATGGTTGGAGATGTGTGACATATGTCCATTAGTTCTCGATCATGTTCTCAAAATGCATTGACTTTATGGAAGAACCATATATAAAATTTGTAAAATGCTTTTGAGGCTGACAGAGGCATATAAAATAATGGGTGGGTTTTCATTATGAGTTTTTGTTATATTTTCTGCCAGATAGAATTTTCCAGCTATGGCTGAATGGAATTACTTGCAGCTGCCCTATTTGTAGGTATTTAACTTTGGCCCTGCCACTTTCACAACATCAGAGTCTCGATCATTATTACCGGGACAGGTCAGGCAAAGGAACTAACTATCCAAGTCTTTCAATATCTGCTATTGGTTAATAAACACAATATAAAGCAAGAATGGAATAGGAAACTCGATTGTCCCATTTGGTGTCATCTGTGGATTGTCACATTGGGACCTATGCCAGTTGTGTCCATAGCTCTAAGGCTGTGTCTCATTCAGCAATTTTTTTGTTTTATGTCTATTGAATGCCAAAACATCTCGGCTAATTGCTGGTGATGCAGCACAGCTAATGCTTCTTTTATGTTTTGGCAACATCCAGTACTTGTCTTTTTTGGGGAAGTTATGGCTTGGATCCATTTTGTATTGGAACCATCTTCAATATTCACTGATGTACTTGCTTTTTTAAATTATCTATCTGCTACTTGAGCATTAAGGAATGGTCAGTGTAAATGGAGTTTCTGTGCACTTTTGGCAGCATTAAACAGCATCTGTCCATAATGCAATGTATTAAAGACCTTATAATATTTGAACAGATGATATATGGTTTCACAAGAATATTTTTGACATCTCATCTGCTTTTGTTAAGGCTTATGTATAATTAGTATAAATTAGTCATAATACTTGCATTTCACACACACACACACACACACACACACACACAATTTTGGAACACACAAGTTTGAAGGATTTTTATTTTGTTTAAAAGTGTCACATAACTAATAAAAACTTTCTATATATTTATGTAGAATTAACTGTTAATGCAAGGAAACTGTGAAACCTGTAAGCTTTCTTATTGCTTTCCAGTTGATTGGTAGGTGGAACCAACATGGAAGCAACTTGTCATGCCCAGAATTAAGTACCATTCCTACCACCATACTTATCCTTGTAAACCTGTGCATAATCCATCAGTCACTATATTTCTTTACAATTTGTATAACAGGACCCAGACCGAAGGCACAAAGAAGGCAGCCAAGAGAAAAGAAAAAGCAACAAGCATGACAGACACCAGAGCCGCAGTCGTAGTCGGTCTCAGGACAGAGACAGCCGCTACAGAAAGTCTAAAGACAAGCAGCACGAGGGGCTTGGGGAAAGGGAACATGAAGAGAAGAGGAAAGCCAGAAGCCCTAAGAAGGCCAAGGATAAGGAAAAGTCCAAATACAGGTGAACAAGGACTCTGCCAGCGAGAAGCCCTGCAGCAGGCTTCAAGGCTCCATGTCAGACTGCTTGTCCTGGAAATCCATAAGAGGACATCTTACAGCAGCGTTGTCCCTCTTCATATTCTCCAGATGTGTTGGGCTATAAATCCCTTCATCCCCAGTCAGCATATTGGCGTGGGGGTGATGGGGATTGTAGTTTAGCATCTCTGAAGGGTACCAGCTTGGGGAAAGCTGTCTTGTATTGTGGAATCTATCAGAATTCTGTCTATTCAAAGTTAAAACTTTTGGTTTTTGATGTGAAAATTTATTGAGGCCAAGTGGAAGGTTTCAGGCCACAGCAAAACACTGTTTACAGATCTGCAGCATTTTCATGATGAACACCACCCACCACAACCACAGAAAAGAGCTTTACGTAATGCCATCCCTTAACTGTAGAAAGTACAGTGTAGGCATTATTCTGGAACTAGTAAGGGCTATTTCTCACATGCTGAATTTAATTTTTTCATATAAATTGAAGATTGGAGGTTGCATATAGCCCAATTACATTCATGATTACCTATCATAAAAGATCTTTTTATTTTCTCATGGGAACTTGCTACCAGTTGGGGCTTCCTGTTGCATGTGTTGAAATGTTACAGGTATTCATCACATATAGCATTGTAATGTGGACAGATTTGATTTCCTGTACAAAACTGATAGCTAAGATTTTATTCTGTATGATATAGCTGTAAATCCTGTTGCTTTTGAGAGGCTTTCTAGTACAGGCAGTTATTTTATAATAAAAAATTCACACTTCAGAATCAGGTTTGTGTTTTTATAATATGGGCTCCTTCCTGGAAGTGTTTTCTGTATAAAAACGGGTCTCTGTAATCCCGGCAATGTTAGTAATATCTCCAAACGGTGCAAGAGCTTGAAGTGCCATTGTCACTTCACATAGCAGTGAAATAGAATCCTTTTGAGACAAAATCATATCCTATGGGTGGTTGGATTGATGCAAGAAGAATTAAACACAGCACAAGTTTGTGTGTCTTGTTAATGTTGTAAACTTTTAATGTAAAAATAATCAGACAAGAGTGTTGGAATATGCATTGATTTAGGGAATTTAGTTTTCTGATCTTCCCTTTGTAATTTACTGATGCCTATTTTGCTGAAGAGCAGTGATGTGGTGCTATAGGCAAAAAGCAATACATCGTGAGTTGGAAGAACTGCTCATTCATGTTTGCAAGGAAGCATGCACAGCGCTAACAGAGAAAGGAAATGGCTATTAAACTACAACCTTAGAAATAATGGTTGGAGTGATGGGTTTATTTTAGTTTTGCTATGTCTTAAGATTTTTAAAACTAGATTCTGTGTTATTCACTTGACTTTATAATTAGAATGCAGTTATTATACAGATGATCCCCTAAAATGGTTGATTTCCACTTAAGAACATAAGGAGTTCCTTGTTGGATCAGGCTGAGATCCAGATCGTCCAGCTTCTGTTTCTAACTTCCAGCAACTAGTAGGCAGCTACTGCCTGTGCTTGAAAAACTCTACTGTTCTATATAATGTTAGGAAAGATATTTTGTCCTTTTTGTGTGAAAAATGCTTCTGTTGTTTTTCAACTGAAAGTCATTCCTTTATATGAATTGTTATATGGGCAAGTCTTTCACATTAAAGGAATGAAAGAAAAGTTTTAATGATGCAGAAGTCATCAACCTTAGCTATGCCAGGAACATATCATTCATCCATATATTCTCCACTAAGCATCTGGATTGCTTTAAATTCTCAAGTTGCTGATTCTGAAAGTATAGGAGAATCTAATTTAATTACTAAATTTATACTGCACCTTTCAGCCTAGCAAACTCACAAAAGAGCTTACAGCAAGATATAATATTGTTTTAGAATGATTATCATTTAACAACAAAAGCCTTCTTAACAAACTGGTTTTTGCCATATGCTCAAATACTGGTTGCAAAGGGACCTATACAACACCTTTTAGAGAGATTTCCAAATCACAGAAAATTACATGGTTCTAATAGCAAAACACCTTGATTCTTATGGGATAAGAGAGATTTTTGCCTCCAATTACGTAATGTTCACATTTTCATTTCCATGTATCTGATACAGTTCATCCATTCTCGGTTTGCAGCCTATAAATCTTGAGTTCATCTTTGATGGCTTCTACTATGTGCACCCTTAAGCTACCATGTTTCTGACATTTATTTTTCTAACTGCTTCCTAGTTGAGAAGTCTGAAAAGTGGATTGTAGCCAGCACAAAAAAGACACATGCAAAAAGCTGCACATTTCTAATTCTGCACAGCGCCCTTGGAGACAAAAGAGAAGTGTAGCAGCACCTCCACAAATTAATTGAACACTGGAACATGCTATAAAGAGTTCTCTGCGCCATTAAAGTTTGAACATGCCTACACTAACAAATGTTCCATTAAAAGATAAAAATGCTTCTATAAATGTTATCTGAACTTACCTAAGTCTGTTTTTATGCTGATACTTTCCCTCCTCCTCTTTTTGAGTCAAAGGCTAATGAGTTAAATTATAGGAGCTGCCCAATTAGGGAAGTAAAAACCTTCCTATGGAATGAGCTGTAACTTGCACATTGCACTTTGGCTGATGTCACAGCAATAACAACGTGCCTTTAAAAATAGACTGTACTTCCTTGAGTGAATAAAATCGCAAATGTCCTACTCTGTGAACTGCTGGATACCAGAGATGGCCCAGGCAGTCCAGCATTTTTCTGGTTACTAAAGGAAGGCATATTTTCTGTGAGTACAGACAATTTGTTTTAACTCATTTCAGAAACACACTTGGGTGGGTGAGGAAAAGCAGGGTTTAACCTGCCTGAGGCGGTTACTCCATTTCCCCCCTCCACTTGCTATATTGTACTATGCTGGTGCCCCAGCCTCCCTCAAGGAGAATGCCTTTGAGCATGGGCAGAGTGCTCTGTACTACTAAGCACTTTCTGGAATGCAGGAAGGAACCCAAAGCCAGCTGGTGTTGCTTAACCATGTTCAAGCCAGTCCTTGACCTTGCAGGAATCAAGCTTTCTGATACCAGTTCGTTTTTCCATCCTTGTGTAACAAACTAAAACAATATCCCCCATGTACAAAGTGTTTTAAAATAATTGTAGGCTGGCACATCCCTTCCCCCCTCCCCAAAACAATCTCAGCAATAATTCAGAGGCACAATGATGACAGGCTTGAGAAAGGAGGGGGAAAGTGATGGCTGGAAGGGAACATTGCTGGACTTGTTGGCTGCCATATGTACAGGAAGGTCTTATTTCTCATTCATATTCATATACGTGCACCTAATAAGAAAAGGAACAAGTGAGAAAAGCACACTGCAGTGGTTTTCAACCTGAATTCAGAAAATTGCATTGATTTCCCTGTCTGGGATCAGCTAAGTTTTGCCTCAGAAACTTTGGATGGTGTCAAACTGCCTTTCCCCAACCAGAGTGTCCTCCGGATGTGTTGGAGTAGAAATCGTTATTTTGACACAATCCTCTTGTCAAAAACATGTCATCTTGAAGAAGACCTACAAGAAGTACCTTGCACATCCTGATGGAAAGTGAAGTCAGACTTTGAGTCTCTCTCATTGCCTTGCTCCCTCTGCCTTGTACTTTGCAACTTGCATAGCAGCTGTGCTGCAAAACAAGCACCCAGCTTCTTCTCAGGGTCCTGTTCTGCTTCTATCTCTCTTGCAGCAACATTTCACAGAGTAACATAACCACATGTGGGCACTCAACATTTTGAGTTTCAGAAGCAGCAGAGAAGCGACTGAATAGCACAGAACAGATGGGAGGAAATTGAAAGCTAAAGGGAGCAGCAAATGCAGTTACATGACTTTAGTGTTGGCATTAGAGGGGTGAAATTAAGGGCCTAGAGAGAGTTTTGTAGAGATTATAATCAATGTTTCCAACTTTTTCTTAGTATAGTATTGGGATTGGTTACTGGTTGCACTTTCCAAAATGGAGTGATACATGGGACACTCTAATACAAACAAACCTTACAAAGAACAAAAGTATCTGATATCACATCAAATCAGTCATGTACATGCAGCAAAAGATAAAAATACTAAGTTACTCATAATGGTTTCAGTTCATCCCCTGCCGAAGGTAAGTTAGCCAGCCAGCTGCAAGACAGAGGGCTTTCTCAGTTGTGGCACTCACTGAAGGAATTAACTGCCTAAAAAGGTTCACCTGGCATCTATACTATTATCTTTCAGGAAACAGGAAAAGACCTTTCTTTTCTCCCAGGTATTTTAGAGACTTAGTTCTAGATTTTGATTGATTCCAGTGCTGTTTATTGTACTGAATTTCATTCTTTAATACATTTACATTGTATTTTGTTAACTCGTCTGTGGCAGCTTAGTCATTTGACTTTCTGTAATACACTCAAAGAATATTAGGTATAGCGTGGTGGGAAAATGTAATAGATAAATCTGTTCTTTCCCTCACTTTACAGCCAGAGTTGTCGCCAATTTTCATTGTTGCGTGTCACAAAGTTGTCTCCAAGTTATGGTAACCCAATGACTGTCCTGCAGAATGTCTTATCCTTCAACAGGCATGCTCAAATCTTGTAAATTCATCACTGTGGCCTCCTTTCGGAATTTGATTCATCTCATATTTGGTCTTCTTTTTCTGCATTCAATTTTTCCCAACACAATTGTTTTCTCCAGTGAGTCCTGTCTTCCCATGAAGTGTGCAAAGTATGAGAACATCAAGTCTTGTCATTCTTGTTTCTAGGGAAAGTTGTGGCTTGATTTGATCCAGGACCCAATTTTCCCTAAGCTTTCCTTCAGCACAGTGTTTCAAACACATCAGTTTTCTTAATGGTTCAGCTTAAGCGATCATCCCCACACAGTGATCGGGAATACAATAGTGTGGATGATCTTGCCCTTGGTCTCTAGTGAAACTTTAGACTTCATGATCATTTCTTGTTCCTTCATTGTTGCCTTTCCAAAGCTTCAAATTTTCCTCAAATTTCCTGCCTGTAATCTCCCTTTGAATGATAATAGTGTGAAGGTATGCAAACACTATCACAACTTCAAATTCTTCATTGTTCACCGTAAAGTTGGGTAATTCTTCTGTAGTCATGATTTTTCTTAATATTTAGCAACTGTCCTGCTTTAGAACGTTCTTCTTTCATTTTCTTCAGACGCTGTTTCAATTCATTGTTGTTTATGATGGTATCATCTGTATATCTTAAATTATTGAGTATTTTCCATCAATTTTCAACTTTTCCTTTGATCCTTATGTTCAGCATCCAGATTAACTTCTTTGTCTGATGCCTTCACCAATGAGAAACCATTCTGTTTTTCTTAATTCTGTCCTAACAGTACCTTCTTGTCCACGCCTCAAGACAGTCAACCCTAAGGCACACCCATTTATTTCAGGATCATCCATAACTTTTCATGATCCACAGTGTCTAATGCTTTGCTGTAGTCTATAAAACATAGACTAACCTTGTTCTGAAATTCTTTGGTCTGCTCCTGAGTGACCCTGCTAGGAGACCAGCCTAGTGCTTAGCTGATCCTCCTGGGAGGGAAGGAAGAGCAGGAGATACCTTAGCAGGGAAAACACTACCTTGCTTAGCTAAGAGATAGGCTCTGTTTTCTAGATACATGAACACCATTTTGGTTCACCCCCTACCCATGTGCAGTCCTTATGCCTACAGTCCAGAGATTCTAGCTGCTCCCTGTTTTGGAAATCGTAGAATTGTTTACTTCCTTAGCCTAGCAGCCGAGCTTGCTATATCTCAAAATCTGGCAATACGTCCTCTGTTTATATAACCACAGGACCACAGAATAAATTAAATAAAGAATAGGGTGCTGGGTGTCCAGTTCCTATTATACCTCCAAGGATGGTGATGCATCAGATGGAAGCACTTTTGTTTTGACTGCTCTTTACCTATTAGCACTTTCACCTATTAGCACTAGAGCAAAGCTAACAACTTTAATCAGTTCTCAGTAAGGCAGAGTACGGACCTGCAGACATTGCTATTAGATGCTTCTAAAACAGAAGCTAGTACAGTGCTCAGTAGTAGCTTCCATTTCAGAGGCATCAACTAGCAGCTCTCCCTACTGCTATACACACTGAAAACAAATACAGAGCAAAAGGAAACCACAGCACATGAACAGCAAATGAGCTCATTCTTTCTGCACCATTCTTGCAGTTGCTGTCTCTAAAAGTTGCTTTTTGTCCTCCACTGTTAGAATCAGCCCCCCCCCCCCAAAAAGAAAAGAAAAGAAAAAAAAAACCAAAACCAAAAACACAACAACCCTGTAGCATTTGGTGTGAGGAGGTTGACAGACAGGGAAAAAACTCTTTAAATTATGCTGAGAAAAGAACAGTTTGCACTAAACTGACTGATTTGCTGTGCCCCAAATAAATGACTAATACAGATTTCTTTTCTTTCCCTTGGCCTAAAAGGGGGAAAAAAACCCTCAATCTACATTAGGACAACTCAAAGATTATAAAATAGCATGCAAACGTTTAGGCTCTGCAAAACTCTTCATCAGGCAAGATAGTAAAGCAAAAGGGGAGGAGGAGTCTGTATTTAATCCAGTCTGTATTTAATCACATTCTTAAGAAGGCTTGTGGGAGCATGTTTGCAGACATTCAAGGTAAGCTCTGCCATAGGGGAAGGTCATCCCAAGTCCCTTTACAAATAATTTTGCCTCTGTGGGGTGGATGACCTCAGGGCCATGGCCATCCCATCCACTGGCAAAAAAGTCCAGCCACATCCTGGACATAGTCTTCTCCTTGGCTGAATGCGGCATCTAGAGCGCTGCCCCTCCACTGGCACCACTTTGCCTGCACTGCGTCCTCCTTGGTGAATAATGGTGTGGCACCGAGATAGCAGCTGGGTTTGTGTACTGAAGCCCTCTTCTGCCTGGTCTGTACCTTCTTCTGCCAGTTACTTTACTTTTACTCTCATTTTATTTTGCCTCCTGGGAAATTAGGGTCTTTTGCGAATGGCCATGCCCATCATGAGAGCCATTTTATAAATGAGCAAGATCCATCTCCCCATGAGACCCACTCGGTGACATCAGCTGTGATACTCAAAATTCCAACTACTTATTTATTTAAAGCCTTTATATACCGTCCCATTACTGGTGTCTCAGGACGGTTTACAACAAGCACAAATAAAATAAGATAAAAATGGTACAGCATCCAGGGATAAATATAAAAACCACAATTAAGACCAATTAACAATTAAAATAATGGGAAAATAAAAAATAAACTATGCCCTCCATTTCAAAAAAAGACCAGGGACCCCTGCTAAAGCCACTGTTTCATTCTTTTCTTCAAAGGCTATATGCAATCAGCATGCTCCATAACCTCCTCGCAGTCATAAAGCACTCATGAGTGAGATTAGGGTACATGGCAGCATTGCTTAGAAGAAAGAGACTGCCTTCAAATGGTGCCATGAACAGTAAGGTCTCTACTCTGGCTCATAATCAGGTCCCTCTCAATTCTACCAGCGGTGATTGTATCAGAAAGATTTCCTTTTTTAAATCCAGCACAGACCAGCAACACTCGCTGAACATCCTGTGCAGAATTTTGTTTTATCTTAGAAAGAAGAACAAGAAGAAAAAAGTCATGAGTTGTTTTCATGGGTTGCCAATAACACATTTCTCCAGGATCTCTGGGTAACGTCTGCTCATTGCTAGGCATGTGTAGCATGTCAGAGATGGTATCTGTGCCTCACTAACCACAGTGCACAAACGCAATCCCTTGTCTGGACTGTTTTCAGATGTTCTAACCAGAGATAAGCCTGAAGTGCCTGTTTGCATATGCGTGTGCGTGGCTTGTGCATACCTATCTTCAGTACCTATCTAGGCACACCTGATGTTCTGACGAAAATTGGCTGCCCTGAGGGTATATTTAAAAGCCAGGGGCTTCTTTGTGCTCAGAATATCTGCAGAAAGGCTGGAGTTCTCTGGTAAGTCAGAAGGCAGCTAGTGAGTTCTGATATACTTAGAGCAAGGATTCTCAAATATCTTCAGGAGCTTTGCTTACTCAATAGAAAACTAAAACTCTTTGAGCCTCAGCCAGTGTAAATAAAGCTTGCATTAGAAGGCAACTTGGTGCTCATTCTTCTCAAAGGACAAATTATAGCTTCTCAATCCTAGGAAGCAAAAATCTGCACAGATAGGAGGTCTCTGGAGCCTGTTGGCCCTCAGTTTCATTGGTCAACAGAGAATATACATCATTCCACAGGCTGGGTTGGATCCAGATATAGTCATACTTGGAATGGGACCATTGAAATAAATGGGACTACTTCATTGCCTTAAATGCAATTGATTTCTATAGGTCTACTCTAAGTAGTACTAAATCTGGGTCCAACCCATTGGGAAGAATACATCTCTGCAACATGCTAGGGATTGAAGGCATACACACAAGATTTCCTTTTTAAATGTTAATATATAACAGTTAATATATGACTTTGCAATTTATTGTGGTATTATGCTGACATATTAGCATATCTGCTTATTTTATTAATGATATTTCTATCTTATAAAATTTGTAAAAAAAAAGTCTACAAAATGGATGGGGAGTCTCAACATATGCCCTCACATTCCATGGCAACTACTTAATTTGCATTATACATTGAGGACCCTGAAGGATTGTTGGGTCCTTCAGTATTTGCATTTCCTTGGTGTATCAGCATAATTAAATAGTGGCTTTCTTTGCTTCTCTTGAAAGTGGATGCTAAAAGAGGCCACATTGGATCAACTCTGTTGACTGGAAACATCCCACCGGACATTTCCATTTTCTGAAATACTTATTCTGACAGGCTTTTCATCTCCTTGTACAGAAATGGAAGCACAACAGAGCAAGCTGGAATTTTTCCACAAGCTGGGTTATAGTAAGGAAGAAGTGTGTGAAGTGCTGGAGAAGCTAGGACAAGAAGCTTCAGAAAATGATTTGCTGCAGGAGCTGATTCAGATGGGGACCAGAACCCAAGAGCCCGAGAACCGGACACAAGCTTTTCAATTCAGTCCTACAGCCCATGCGCCATGCGGGGTCTTGCCAGTTTCCCACAGGTCTACCAAGAAAACCAGCGATCCCTCCAGCAATTTGAGACCCATTGTGATCGATGGCAGCAACGTTGCAATGAGGCAAGCATTTTTCCATTTTCTTCTTTATGTTTTAGCTTGCATTGTGATCCACAACTGACCCTACTCTCAATTTAGCAGATTTAAGATGAAACATCTGAACTGTGGGGGATGCTCTGTTTGGTTCAGATTATAATTCCCAATGTTGGTGTGGCATTTCATTAAGCTGAATAAACGAATAGCACTGTGCTTGAAATGATGCTGATGAGATAGAATTTTTTTCTTTGAGGTGTCACACCTGTAATGACATAGTCGCATAAACATTTCATCAAACTAGAGAATCTAGCATGTGTGAATTAGCTTTGCATAAATAATATATAGCAGCACAGATATAAAGAAGATATACCTCACAAGAGAAGTTATATTTTATACAGACAAGAGTGCTTCTCTTTTCTGCCTTCAGTGCTTGGCACTTTTCACTTCTCAAATGCATGAATTCAATTTTCCTACACCAACATCCTGCCTGTCACTTTTTAAAAAGCCACAGAACCTGCCCAGTAGGAAATGACGGTTTTTCGATCTCCCACTTCAGTGCAAAATTGCACACTTCTCAAGAAGATGAGAATTCTTCTTCAGGCAAAGAGGTCTACACATACCGCAGGCTTCCTGCTGAAGAGATGTCAGAGGCTGGCACACGCCCCAGGGAGCGGTGCAGGACCCCCCCCCCCCCCGGCTTCTGTTGTAAGGGAAATAGGAACAAAACGGTTCCGCAGGTATACATACAATAAAGCACTTTAGACCGCTTGGATAGCCATTCCCAGAGGGAAGCTTCCCAGGAGGCATGTCCTTGTGCATGTCCAGACAGAGAAAGCTGACTGGGGCATGCTGGGAATTGTAGGCCTTTGTTTCTGTCCAACCTTGTATAGGGTCGATTCTCCAAAGTTGCCAACTGCATAGTAAGGACTTCCAGACATTTAAAAGGGATAGAATGCCTCTTTCCAAGGAAAACCTGAGCATTTATAGGCCTGTAAAGGAGGATTCCAGTGCAAGAATCCTCAAGAATGCCACCAAAGTTACTTTGGAAAACCCATGATAGTATGTGATATACAATGGATAGATATTCATGCTGTGAATTTACCCCCAGTAGACTATAACTTGGTCTGTTTTGATTGAACTTTTCTGCTTTGTGTTTTACTATGCAGCCAGCAGATTAAATGGTGGCAAAAACTGCTTGGCACTTCTTTAGCAGCCATTTAATTAGGTTTTATTTTATCATTTCTAAGCCTAGGTCTTCACTCTCATTTTCCTGCATTATATAGTACCAGCAATCTGCACTCAGTTAGATGTTAGGTGCACTCAATGATTTGCTCTCCACTATTCATCTTGTGTATATAGCACATTGCATTTTCTGTTTTCTTTTATTCCTGACATTTGTAAATGACTCACTAAATAAAGTTTCCTGAATGGTGTGCAACAGAAAAGCATAGCATAACAGCATTGTACTTTCTACTGCTTATAATTTCCATCACTCCATCAGTTAAAGAGTTACTTCATATATTACTGGCTCCTTCCCGCTCCTTGCCCACAAGATCCTGTCATTAGCATTTCATGATTAGTCCCCTCTGATAAGAAGCATAAAACTAAGGTCAACCTTTTTGTTTACATATTCAAAGAGTTGAAAGTTGTGACAACTGCCTGCAAGTGCAAGAGCTAATGACTCATACAATTTTATTTTGGATAAGCGGTTGTGTAAACAAACGCAAATTTGCCAGTGGCCTGCATGTGACCTGCAGCAAAGGGTTTATAACTGCAGACAAGAGTGACTTTCTAGCACAACAGCTCTGGGTGTGGGCGTGGGAACTCCAATGTAATGTAACTCAGAATATTTTTGATGTGGTGCTTCTAAGGGTACCGGTCCAGAATAGCTTTTATGTTTGGTGGTTGGAAAGGTCCATGGCTATTTGTGAAAGTACAAAGTATATTTTATGTAGAGAAAAGAGTAGAAAACATCATACTGCAGAACGTTGTCTTTATACTGTAAGATGGCCTGGCTGATCGGATTCTCCTTCAGGCAAGGATGAGCAATTTGTGGCTCTCCAGTTTCCAAAACTGGCTAAGCTGGAACAGGCTGAGGGGAGCGCTAGGCCAAAACACCTGGAAGTCTACCAGATGCTTGCCCACCCCTGCCTTAAGGAGACATCCATTTACCTATGCATGGAAGCTTGCAGTCACCTTTAGATCTTAGTATAAATAAACAAACCAAAACAGGATATCCAATCTCCTGATAGCAGAGTCTCATTCACTATCAATCTGTGCAGACTTTGTTTTCTGACTAACTTAGCTCATTGCCTCAATAAAACACTACCCACACACAGTGAGTGGCCCACCTGGGGCACTCATTCACATCAAAATATGTATCCAGTTAGTCCAATTTAATATATTGGACATAAATGGAAGTAAATGTTGTAACATGTTTGGTGCATTGATCTGTTTTACCAGATCGGGTCAAGTGTATTAGCAAAGAGTCTCAGCCATGGCTTGTGAATTAGATGTTCGTTAAGATGGCCATGTATATGTTAAGAACTGCCATGGACATCTCAGTTACACACTTTTCAGAGTTGATGGATAGATGAGCACAATAAAAATAACAAAGAGTATTGTAGCACTTAAAGACTAACACATTCATTCCAGCATAAGCTTTGTAAACACTGCTCACTTGAAGTATGAATACATGAAGTATAGATCGCAAACTGGCAGAGATACATACTTAACCTAGTGTGTGGAGGGCAATGAAAGCTACTGTCAGGAGGAACTGAAATGCAGTGATAATTCTCTTACTCCTTATAATAATGCAGACCGACTGTGATCATTCCTTTACCATTTGCCATTGGCAAACATTGTTGAGTGATAACACAGACAGAATTTCGATGGTGACCTGGTTAACAAATAGATAATGTGATGAAAATACAAACCAACTAAAGATAAAAAAAGAAATACACTTTTCTTCCCAGGCTGCCACTCTGAAAATTGCTCTTAATTTTTCCTGACACCAGCTGACTAGCTTACACCAAAAAAACATGTTGCATGCTTTGCCCCCTTCTACCTGAATCTTAGGCCCAATTTTGCAATGGTTAGACCATAACACTAATATGTGAACTGAAATATACATACTATTGGGATGTTTACAAATTAAATTGTGCTTATAAATTTGTGGGATAATTTAAAGGCCTAGATTATAGAGTAAGACGGAAAAGGAAAAACAAATAAAAACATTCTAAACACCAAAATTTGTAAACATTGTTTGAAATAGTGTGCTGTAATTTTGAACTTAACCATTTTACTTACAGTTTTTGAAGTGTGCATTTTTTTCTTCTGTGCTTTAAAATTATTGTATGCACTTACGGAATAAAGCTCCAATGTAGGAAATGGATATGACAAAATATAACAAAAATCAGCACAGATCCACACTAAATATCAACAGCAGATCCCTGGACTGATGAACTGAATCTACTTTGAATTTGAAACCCAATATTAATTGAATGAACCTAATTCAGATGAGCTGAAATTAAGCTTTCCCTTAGAAATTTTATTCATACTTATATGTCTGGTTCCACACCTTGCTTATAATTCTCCTGAAAGCTGGTCATCCATCAATGAATATTTCTGGGTTGCTGTAATGTGCAAAAATATTGAGCCATAATTCATAATTTCTTAAGGACGCTTCTGATTTACAGGGATATGGAAGCAAAGAGGAAATGGCCAAGATAACTGCCTTCTTCCATTTTCAGACAATAAGCCTATAAAACATCACAGAAAAGAGATGGGTGGGCAAGATTCAGATCTGTTGGGTATATTTTGTTTCTTCCTAGAATAGCCAAGGCCCATCAGTCAGAACCAGGTACAAAGGACAAACATTTAGAATTTAAAGAACAGGGTACCTCTTGGCACATTTGGAAACAGAAAAATTGGTTTCATTACCAAAAGTGAACCAACTACAGAATCCTTTCACATAAATTATTCTTTTCAGAAACCTACTTTAGGGCAAGAAAAGATTTTTAGTTGTTGTTTTAGACAACAGGGTATCAGAAACTCTTCTTAATCTACTGCAAATCACATAGAAATCTATTAATTGATCCTGATCTATCATGTAGATATTGTAGACAGAAATGCTTAGAAAAATGACTTTATAGCAGAAAAAACTTTATAGCAGTAACCCGCAAACATTGGGACGATTGTCGTAAAGGACAGCATACAAATGTTTTAAATAAATAAACAAACATTCTTTTATATTCTTTTTTTGCAGCCATGGAAATAAGGAAGTGTTTTCATGCTTGGGAATTCAGCTGGTAGTGGACTGGTTCACACAGAGAGGTCACCAATATATCAAAGTCTTTGTTCCATCTTGGAGAAAGGAACCAAGCCGATTTGATACCCCCATTAAAGGTAGGCATCTGTATCTGACAGATTTTACATATGAAGTTACATAGTTTTCATGCTCCTGGAAAAAGTGATTTTAAATGCACTCTGGAAAATTATCACTATGCTGCTCCAGAAAGAGAAGATAAACAAAACTGACCAGCTACACCTGAAAGATTTTGTATTATAAAGCACAGGCTGGCAAATACACACATATTCTTCCTTCAAGCTTCTGTTATTTTGCCCAAATAACAGAAGGGGCCTATCTGCTTATTTATTTATTTAAAACTTTTATATGCCATCACCATATGCCTTGGCATCTCAGGACGGCCTGCTTCACCAACAGACACGCTTCTACCCACAAACTATCTTTTCTGCTTCGTATTTATATCAGTAATAGCCAGGTGTCAAAAGGTGCAACACAATGCAGATAGTTAGAGGAGGTTTAGACAGGAAAAAATCTGGCATCTCCTATCATGTCCCAACCTGCATAGGATTACATCCTAAGACTTGGCCAGCAGCTCCTGTCCACTTGCTACTTTCCATTTGCCACTGATAAAAAGAAAAAAACAGGATATAGCCTTTCATTAATTCTCATGCAAGTTAAAGGGATACACATTAATGCAGCTACATTTGGAGTATACCATGGAGGATGTGATTTGAAAATTACATCCGTCACTGTAAGTTGCATTAATTCCCATCTGTCCACCTTATCGGTGATCTTATGCTTCTCAAAGGGCAGGTCTATTCTGCTGCATTTCAGTTGGCATCTCCGTGGACAAAGAGCTGTGTAGATGTCCTGAACTACACCACGGTACATCTCATCTGGTTGTCTCTCCCTTCTGTACCATGCTGTAGTGACCTCTTTCATTGTCATGGGATCCCAAGCCAACTTGTGTTCCCCACTCCATGTTTACATAGTGAATTGTTCCAATTCATAAAGCACTGAGTATGTACTCTTTCAGCATGTAACACCCTTTGATAGCTTATTTCCTATGGGGAAAAATTTCAGGTCTTGGTATTGGTGTGTAAAGCCCTAAACAACTTGAGACCAGGATGCTCAATATTGGAGAGTGCTTCTGTGTAATCCCATTTTTTTCTGCTTAACTGGAATGTGTGCAACTCTAAATTACCTCATAATTTTAAAGATTACAGTAAAGTTTACAGTAGAATATTTATTCTATTTTTCAAAAATGTTTCATGAGCAGTGAATAGCAAAGAAAAAGAAGAATTTTGAAAAATTAAAATCAAGTTACATCAGGAAAACCATGGCTACTCATTCAGGAAAACCATGTTAGATTAAAACATGTCTTTACCAAAGACTGATAACCACTCAGTGATGCTGCTTGCCTAACATCAAAGGACAAGTAATTCTACAGAGAATCAGTAAAAACTTTTCTCTGAATGGATACCAAACAGACCTCAAGTGCATCCGGAATCACCAGGTGCACCCCATCCAACCTGCGATTAAGAGAGATTCAATCCAAATACTTCAAATGTTGCATGAAGTGTAGATTGGACTGTTAATTATCAATAGGTAACTTGATGACAACTTAATTCAAGCAAATTTTTGGGGATTCCTTGCATGAGATGTGTGTGCGTGCACACTTGGAAACTGCAGTTTTCTTCTTGGTTGTTCATTTGCCTCTCTTCCTTTTCACTTTTAGACCAGTATGTCCTTGAGAAACTTGCAAAAGAAGCAATACTTGTGTACACCCCATCCCGCAAAATGAAGGGCAAAAGGATGGTGTGCTATGACGACCGCTACATCGTTAAACTGGCCTATGAGCAGGATGGGGTCATTGTTTCCAATGACAACTTTAGGGACTTGCAAAACGAAAACCCTGAGTGGAAGTGGTTCATCGAGCAACGCCTACTGATGTATTCTTTTGTCAATGACAAGTAAGAGGTTACGTATATGCAAATATCATCCACCATGGGTCACTTCAGTAGTCCAACTAAATGCTAGCATGATCAAATACAGTATTCACTGCAGTCGAATACAGACTTTTTATTCTGCTGGCAGGAGTATCTCCAAGCAGAGATCTGCTCAGAATGTTTCCCCTTCCCTCTACGCCCCTAGCACCACTTACCCCACTGTTTGGGATAAGTGGAGTAACTCACAATCTTCCGTAAGAGATTTTCAGGGACAGAAAGGAATATAGGATGGAGAGAAGACTTGGCACAGATCACTTCCTCCTCCTCCATTCAGCCGGTGGAAATGTCTACTGGATCAAAAGCCTTCTCTAGATAGGAGGAGTCTGTGCAGCTACAGGAGGCTTTTGCTGGATTCCAACTGTTAATTTTAGGGGGAAGTATTCAGATTTTTAAAAGGATGTTCTTTGGCATCTTTTTTTTTGCATTTGTTAATACTAAGTTCTTTTATAACATTCTACTATAACAAAACAGTTGATTTAATTGTATAGATATTGCCTTTTTGACATTTGACAAGTCTGACATTGCTAGACTTGTCATCCTCCTGGAAGGCCTTATTTTCATTCATGTGCACATACATGCACCTAAATAAGAAACAGAGCAAGTGAAAGTATAGAAAAATATGTTAGAACATCTTAAAATGTCTCACTTTGAAATGGGATTTGTAAGTGTTTAACTTTGATTGGATCTTCCTTATTGCTGTTAAGAGAAAGATGCTGAGTTAACCAGAGGAATGGTTGATAGGTAACTGGCTTTGTTATAAAAGTATATTATCCTGTACTATGGTTTCAGAGTACCTGCTTCATCAAGGATTTGTTTTCTGTTTCCAGAGTAGCAGCTGCCTGGTACATCTGCAGACTATTTCTGGCCATGTTTTGCTCTTTTTAAAAGAGGTTTTAAAAAATTCTGGTATGTTCACACCTCTTCCCACCAGTGGAGAAGTTGCACACATACTGGAAATCTTTTTCTGCTAAGGTTTTTGCCTGAATATCATGCTAAAGTTATGCCAAGAATCTCTAATGTGAACTTGAATGCCATTCAGAAGAAAGTGTGGGGATAGCTGTATAGTAAACTCCGATCATTTTATTTTTTTAGATTTATGCCTCCTGATGATCCATTAGGCCGACATGGACCTTCTCTTGACAGCTTTCTCAGCAAAACGCCACTTCTGCCTGAGCCAAAATGGCAGCTTTGCCCTTATGGTTGGTTTTATTCAATGCTAGGCACAGCTGCTAATCTATGTGTCTTTGGGAGCCACATTGAGAGCAATTTCAGGCATTATATCCACCTTAGGACTATCACCAAGTGCGGCCTCCTTGGCTTTCACATCAGCTGCTTTTTCCTACCCCCTTTTTTGTCTTGTTTATCTGTCTTGAGTGATGAATTAGTTCAGGGCAGGGTCACAGAGATGGTAGCCGGATTCGGGGGATGACATATGAGACAAGATTGAGGGAGCTGGGTTTTTCAGTCTGGGGAAGAGAAGATACAGAGGATCTTATGGCAACATATATGTATGTGAAAGGACACAGTCCAGTGGGGCAAAGCTCAAGAAACTGGGTTTCAGGTTGGGTACTTCCTGATGGTTAGGACCCCCAGGATATGGAATAGGCTTCCATGGGAGATGCAGGCGGGACGGGGGGCATCAGTGAGGATGTTCAAGGAAAGATTGGACAACTACATGTTGGGTATTACATAAGTGTTGCTGGCTGGAGCCGGGGGTCAGACTAGATGGCCCGGGAGGCCATTTCTGACTTGCTGTGCTGCTATCAAGGGTTCTGGAGAGCTCAAAAGCTTGCACAGTATTTTGTGATATTTGAGTTGGTCTAATAAATGTGTTATGCTAATATAGATTTTAGCTAAGACTGGCGCCTGCCTTTCATGCTTTGAGTCCAAAGTCAAAATAGGCAAGTGTGCATCACTTGCATGCAGAGATGCTCCACAGCAACTGTGGCCTACAAATCTTGCCAGAGAGGAATTGTCTGCAGTTCCTTTTCTACATCACCACACAAGTATATAAAGCAAGTGCCTGAGTCATTACTCCTCACCAAAGCCTGCAAACATTCAAAGCTACACTTAAGCTCTGCTGCAATGGCCTACAGCAGATGCTGCTTTTGCCCTGCCTGGTGAACCTCATCAGACAGAGACAAAACTTGGATGCTGCTGCTGATAATTAAGCAAGGCATGAGCATATACTTTGCATATCTTGTCACTGAAGGAGTGGCCTGTGGTAGCAGGATTCTGTCCTGGACATGTATTGGCAACTGATTAGATAGTTGCTTTCTCACTGAACTTGCTGACCTACCTTCAGTTACTACAGCCTCACATAGGAGCAGCTTTTGTTTCTGAGAGTGACCAGAAAGAAGCTAAACAGGTTCTCTTTTCTTTTCTGATACTATAGCACAGTAACAGCCCTAAGGCTGCCAAAGATGTGAGTTTCTGAAAAATGCCACATTCTCCTTTTGCATTAGTTGTTCTATAGATGCATTTTAAAAAATAACTAGCAAGATCTCTTTCTCTGCTATACATGAGTACATCCGAAGTATGCTAACCTGATCATCTTTCGATAACCTACTGATGGATTCCAATTAATGTACTTGCTATCGCTTAGCAAATTGCTATCACTTAGTTCATTGTATTTTGATTTTAATGATTCTAAGTCATCCTGAGATGCCATGGATAAGGGATGACATATAAAAGGTTTAAATAAATAAATATCTACTCCTTTCCGTCCCTCAGACAAAAAATGCACATATGGCATCAAGTGCAAATTTTACCACCGAGAGAGACTGAACTGGGACCATCTCTCTGTAGCTGATGAGCTCCGAGCCAAGACAAAGTCCTTCTCATTTGCTCAGAAAATAGAAGACAAGAGGATGGGGACAATCTCCGTAAAGATGCAGGATGGATATATGTCAAATTTAGCTGGTCCTAGAGGCACTGGCATTATTGGCAGTGGGGGCAGCTCAGCAATATTCTACACTAATCCCCCAAATCAGGAAGAAGAAGATACCAGAGGTTCAACAAGTGACTGGCCAAACATAAATCAAGGCAACTGGCAACCTGAATTACAACAAGGCCAGCCAAGCCATGCAGAAGCCATGTCAAAGCAACCCACTGCCTTCTCCATCAGTGCCAGGACCCATTCTGGAAATGCTCCTTCAGGACTCAGTAAATATGAAGACCTGGTGGGTGATCCACGTGAGGATCACCATCTCAGATACAGCATGAGTTCGTCTCTGTCTCAACATGCCCTATGCTGGGACTGTCCTTGCTTACAACTGTGCAATTTTCAAGGTTGTTACAGGATGCAAACACCAGCAGTACAGACTTCACAAACACTTTCCTGCTCGGTAAGGCAGGACTTGAAAGCCCAGCCCGGAGAAGAACATTTCTCTATAGTGCCTTCAGCTGTGCCATTTCCATATGGCAAGCCTGGAGAGATGCAGTATGCTGAAAATTTGCAAGCCAGCTCTTATGACCAGGTACTTCTCTTGGATTCCAGCTCACTTAGAGCAGTAGATCCTTACACATGTCCTTCTGGTGCTGGCTCCCAGCAGAACTTAGCTCTAAATCCACCTTTTCAAAAGCAAGTAAACGTTCAACAAACTGTATGCTTTGGCTTCCCATACACTGGGACAGACCAGTCTGTGTCACCTGCCTGCACTGATGTTATCGACATGGGGAATTCAATGCCATTAGTTCAAAGGTATTGGAACTTACACAGCAGACCCTCCAGCAGAAAGCCAGAGTAGACAGAGAAGTGGGGCCCCGTGTTATTGTAACATTCCGACAACCGCTCAACTTGTATAAGTCATTTGGTGGGAAATGAAGCAACATTTATACAGCTTGACTGAGCTTTAAATGTATTCCTCACATCTCCCCTTGTCCCATCTCTCTCTTCTGACCTGCTGTCCCTGGGAACAGCTTCTTTACTGTCAATCCATCAACCATTTTGAATTTTCCTTTCAGTCCTTCTCACCTGGCCACGTTTACTACGAAGCCTTCCCCAGACCCTGACAGCTTCATATTTTATTATGTAATTCCAGTAAACCTCCTTCTACAGCACTGCTATTCCTTTATCAAACCCTGAAACATTCCTTCAGAGTTTTATTATGTGTGTTAAGCTTTTATAGAGATTTATGTTCACTGCTTTAACAGTAGTGTGAGAAAAGCCATGAATTGCAAAGGTGGATGACAAAGGCTGAGGAACAACCACCAAGGGCTTCTAGCAGGGCTCCACGGCACATCTCCATTTCCCCAACAGCAACATGAGCAACTTGCCTATGGCTGCTTAAGAAGTTGTGAAGCACCTTTTTCTAACTTTGGCTAGTGCACGAGTTGTGATGCCTCTTAGACAACTATGACCTTGGCACAGTTGGTAAGGCCAGGTAAGGTAACTAAGTTATGCATTATACGTTGGGTTGCTTCTGAAAAACCTCAGAAACTGCAACTGGTCCAGAAGGGGGAGGCAAACAGGCCTCACTGCAGCCCTCTATACAGATCATACTGTTCCTTTAATGTATGAATCAGGAGGAGAACTTTTTCTGGATGATGCCCCAGTCGTATTCTTCCCAAACATATATTTTACCTGGTGCCTTAATTTTGCCATCTTGTAGGCACTAAGGTGAATTTTTCTGTATTCTCAAGTGTTGCATGGGAGAAAAAAATAGTACCACTTTTATTTAGCTGCCACCTTTTTGGCAATTTTGTCTGTGTATGTTTCTTTACTGTGTGTTAAAACCTCTCTATATCATTCATGCATTGGTTTAATAATGTACATATCTGTTGGTTCCAGTGAAAAGCCTGAGAAAACTCTTTTCAATAAAATGCAAATAAAGAAATAACCTACACCCCCCCAAAAGCATCTCATTTGTCCAAACAAATACGTCAGGGAAGAATACATGCTATGACAGAAACATATGACTCTAACCTCATTTTTTAAAGCTTCTGCACCAAGACTGGGCAGTGGGAGGTGGAGGGTCTAGTTCAAAATGGGACTGAGGTATGACCCTTTCCCCAAATGTTCTGCCCACAATAAAAACTGCCCCTCTGCAGATGGCAAACAGAAGAAGGATCTTCTTGGTGTCTGTCCTTAAGGTGTGGAATAAGCTTCCCGGAGAAATTTGCCCGGCACCAACTTTGCTCTCATTTCAGCACCAGGCAAACTTCTCCAGATCTTTTAAAAGTTAATTTCAAATGTGCCTCCCCATCCGCCTTCTGGAATAACTAGTCAGGTTTTAATGCATTTTCTTACAGCACAACTAGAGTTAGATCAAGACACTGTATATGTCTGCACATTCAATAACAGCAAATGCATTTACATGTTTTTTCTTACAAGGAATCCAAGGTAGTTTCCATGATCCTACTAGTCAGGTCACAATGGCACTGTGGGGTAAGGTTATACTGTGAATCAGTGGCCGGACCGAAATCACCCAGTCAGGTTCATGGCTGAGCGGAGACCAAGATCCAAATCTCTGAGCCCCAGCCCAACACTCCGACCACTACACCGCATTGACTCTTTACTTGAACTTCCTTTAGACTGCACTGATGCAGGGAAATGAAAGGGGCCCATTCAACATGACACCTCTTTCCAGTCATGCACTGCAGGTCTGAGAGCACCGAGGTGAAGGTTCAGAATTGGAAAACAAGAATATAAACATTCTGATACTATTGAGCGTCAACTCAGCAAAGGGCCTCTTTTCCAGAACTCACACACATATGCACATACACAGAGCTACAGAGCATAAACTGAATGTTATATATTTGCTGTCTTTTTTGTGTGATGCTACTGGAATGGAATTCTAAGCTTACTTTCTGCAACCCACCCCCAGTAGCTGCATGCAATTTGGTTTAAAATAGAAAGTGCAGTACCCATCTTCAGCCACCTGGTGTCACTCTAGTTATTCTGCAAATAAACTTTGCATATCTAGAGTGACATTCGGTGGATGATGTTGCAGGGCTGAGGCCTCTTGTACAGTCAAAGGCTGGTCCTAAACTTTAATACATGTGCAAAATTGCAGACTTGTTTGTGTGGGGTGAGGGCACACAGTAATGGGTCTGATGGGGGGGTGGGGAGCAACTATTGTTGAAAGCTGAAATCACAATGAAATATTAATACAGTATTATACACTATTGCAATATAAATGCTTTAAGATGCGCTCTCTCTCTCTCTCTCTCTCTCTCTCTCTCTCTCTCTCTCTCTCTCTCTCTCTCTCACACACACACACACACGAGAGAGAGAGAGAGAGAGAGAGAGAGAGAGAGAGAGAGAGAGAGAGAGAGAGCACGCGCGCGCGCGAGCAGGTCCAGTCCGATGATTAGGCGGACAGGGATGATATATGCTCAGAGGAAGCTGCAAGGTTTGGAAGGTAGAACTAGTGCCAAGCAGCCTCCCATGTGCCCTGAATCTATCAGCTGCTTTGCTACAGTGGAACATGTTAGTAACTAGTGAGGGGAGAGTCCAGCCTGCTTTTGCAGGTGAATAGGAAAGGGAGGGTGAATAGGAAGGGAGGCATCTTGAGCTCCATCTGCAAAATGTCGGGACTTGGCCTGCTTTTGCTAGTGCTGTGCCGATCTTATTTTTTACAATTCTTGTTCAATATGAAAGAAAATAGATTGCTTTCAAAACAAACTTTAATAGTAAGCAAAATTTCAGAGAAATTCTCGTGTTTTACATTGAGTTTCACATGCTTACCTTACTTGGGACATAAGGACAAGTGTCCTGCTCTTTCTTCATTTTACAATCCTCTGTTTATGCTTCCATTAAAGCTCAGGGGAAAGCACCATGAGATAATCCTCACTTTCCAATCAGGAAGCACAAGCAGCTTCTGAGGCTGCAAAACAATGGAGAGATGTGTAATAAACACACTCACACAAAGTATCCTCAATTACCTGACAGTTACCTAATAACACACCAAAATAAACTCTGAAGCACCTGGAAAAGCAGCAGAGAAACAGAAGCTCCTTGCATAGGGAAGAAAACCTTAGGGAAAGTGGAGGATTATTCACAGGTTTACACCACTGGCTCCACCTGCATTGTGGTGGATGCAAGACAAGGCTCAGCCTGACCACATCGGTGATACTGTGGCCACTTGCTGGGACAGCACAAAAGCACCACCACCAGCACAAACCTTACACAAACAAGAGGAAGCTGTGCTACAGCCTGTGCCAGTGGTGAGCCCTACCTGTGAGAAATGGTTGCCTGGAGAATTTGCCTGAATTGTCCCCCCAGCTGCTTTGCCCACAGACAGGGTGGAGAATTTCCAAGAACCATCTGTGCCAAGCAAAGGGGAAATTCTACTCAAACAACCAAGTGGCTATATTTTACACACCAGAAATATATCTTTGTGTTATTGCAAGAGATACAGATGGGGCATCACCATAGAGAAATAAGCTCTTAAACTAGACAGAGAGAATACAGACTGCATTCCTTCCATTTTAAGTGAGAAGGGTGTCTGTGATGAAGTCAGTTTCCCCTACAACTGCAGATCTGGGGCCCAAATGTTCCTTCAGTCCAGACCTGCCTGAGAAGAACCAGCGCTGGCTCTGACCAAGATCAGTCAGCCACTAGAGCAGTGGTCCCCACACTTTTCCACACTGCCATCCTCTCTTGGGCGACAACCCTGGCATCCCCATGCCTCTTTCTTTATTGCATCTACTGCAAATTTAAAACAACCAACCCCCCGCCCCAGGTCTTTCCAGTGCTCCCAAGGGGGTGGAACTGCCCACTTTGGGAATCATGGCACTGGAGTATGCAGGACCTTCAGATCCCTTAATACTCGTATTCCTGATGCACGGAGTTTTCCCTAGGCCACATCCTTCCAGTTTGCAGCACTGCAGGAGCAAAGAGTCGCTCTATGCATTCAAGTATTTGAAAAACCAGCTTCCAATCATATTCTCAGTGTGGTTCACAAAAGGAATAACATCATTTAAAATAATGTAAATATGAACACATAGCTACATAAACAAATACAACAGTCAGCAGGAATCTTTTTTTTTTTTAAAGCTTGGTGTTTTGTTTTGTATTTGCCTACTGTCAAACGGTATTCCACTGTAGCCAGTGGGCTCCATATGGTGCTTGAATCAGCAGCTGCAGAGCAACCTAGACAAGGTCAAGGACTCCAGTGCTGACCCCCCAAGGTGTGACCAGTTGAATCTGTGCCATCCTCGCTTTGTCAGTTCAGTTCCTGCATTTACCCTCACAGAAGCCTATTTCCTGGGCAAGAGACGAGCTGGTCTTGCAGCTGCTGTTCTTTTTACCAACAGAAACATACCCAGAGCTTGCAAGAAATCCCCCCCCCCCCCCCAGAATTCCAAGCAGACCAAGCAAATGCTGAAGCTGGTCATCAGGTGAAGGCAGCACCAGGTGCACTGCCAGGTAATAAAGAACACAGTGTTCTGTTGCTACACTGGAGGGGCAATACAAAGCTGATCTACCCGAACACTTGTGTTTGCTCCACTATTCCCAAATAGGAAAGAAATCTATCTGGAAACTTGCACGTTGATCTTGAGTGAAACAGGGCTGCAGCTTTATTGATGCAGCCAAACCAACCAAGTGACCCTGTTTTAAAATGGCACAAAAAGCCTTATCACATCGAGCAAGTCCCATTTGCTTGCTTAGTTTTTCTGCAAAATGGATGGCCCTCATGCTAACCCGTGCCAGTCTTTCAGCTGGGACTGCAGGTTATAGCTTTAATGGGTGAACCAAAGGTTCTGTATCTAGGTTCTGTAAGTTCATATATTTTATATTGCTCAAGTTAGGGATGGGGAACACCTCTTTTCCAAGTTTCTGAAATGGCTGACCAAGCAGCATGGACATACAAATTCAGGATCTCCTTGGTGGCCTAATTTAATCTGTGGCACTTCGCATTAATGTGAGTTGGAAGTACAGAATCCTTTTTTGCACTCTGCAGACAAACATCATAGTCCTACACATCAGGAAAATATCTTGATGTTTTGCACAAGCATTACCAAGGCCTCAACCAGATATGGGATCCTCCAAATAATTGGAGGCTTAATTTAATACAATATTAAAATGTATTTCAAATTCTATGAGTAAGACGCACATCTCTTTTGAGAGTAAAGGAAGAGGCTACAATCCTAGAGGTATGTACATTGAAGTAGACTCCACTGAACCAACCATAGCTTACCCTTCAGTGAACAGTAAGAGCCTAAACTAAATTTGTTTGTAAATTCTAGCAATTCACAAGCTTTGGGTTGCATCCAATGTTGGTCTAACTTGTATCCCATTTATTTCAGTGAGTCTACTCTAAGGACTAAAATGATATTCAGTCCTTGACCATTGCGGTCCATGTACTGAAGTTGCCAGCAATGTGCTTTATGTGGGATTGCCCCTAAGATTAATCTGGAAGCTACAGTTGGTGCAAAACACAATCAGGTTAGTAATAGAAGCTTATCACCAGCATACTACACTTACGCTAAGAAAATGGAAGTTGCTGCCTAAATAGCACCAGGTCAGGTTTTGGTACATGTTTACAAAGCCCGACACAGTTTTAAGGCCAGAATATTTAAAAGATCATCCACTTGGTTGCTGCGTGTCTCTGGGCACATCCTATTCATGGTACCCAAGAATTCAAAAATTCTAGTCAATTATAGTTCAAATAGAGCATTTAGCATCATGACACCAACTCTCTTGAACTTCCATTGTAAATTAGGCAGGTGCCAACCCTTCTGGGTTTTGGTATCTACTAAAAACTTACCTTTCCCAGGATGGTCATCTTTCCTTCTGTATATTGCTTAGAAAGTTCTTTAATATAAACCATGTGCACACGTTAATACATTCAGTCTACAAATTATAATTGCATTTCAAAATACCAGCACAAACAGGCAATCTAAATGATGGTATAATAGAAAAATCTCACAGTGCTCCCCTCTCAAATATGTAAAAGAAATGCCAAGGGAGGGGCACATATATTGTTGTGGGTCACAAATTAGTAGAGTTTCCATTAAAAGACCAATTCCAAAGTAGAGTGCATTGCACTAGAAGACTGTTGGCTCTTTTCTTCCTTTTCAGTATTTTAAGTTCAGAATGACATTAGGGTTGCTGAGGGTACAGCCTGCTCTACAGCAAGACATTGAACTAAACCACAGACCTCAACCCTATTAGATGTAGGACAGCCCTTTATAATGAGACTCACTTCCAATTCATAACCATGTGTTTTTCTTTTCCTTATTCTACCCTTCCCATCATCATCATCATCAACAACAATAATAATAGGTACAACCCACATCAGGTTAGGATGTGGGTCTAGGGCCAGTTCAAACCCCACACATTAGAGCCTTTCCCAACTCAGATTCCAGCACAGAACATCAAAACTATTATGGATTGTACTTAGTTACATCAATGTCAATGGTCTATAGAAGGCTCTGGTACCACAAGGTACTTTTATAACCATTTGATCTACAGTCCCTGCTGAAGTATTTCCATCTGAAGCTTAAGATTCAATGCAATACCAATTTCATTTCTCTTCTATAGATACTGCTTGAAGACATGATGGTATCAATTGCTTCAGCTGAAGAAAGAGCAGAAAGAGAATGCTTCTATATGTAATGGGAGAAATGGGCTCTCCTCCCATAGTAACCTGAACCGCAGCTACAGGACACACCAGTAAATCCTAAATATATGTTTTAGATTCTTTCAGAATGCTAATGTGGGTACAAGTGGTGCCTTCCATTTGAACTGGAAGCACTTTACCTTATAGTGAGCAACTTGTGGCCTTCCCGAAGTTTGGCCTACAACTACCATGATCCCTCAACTATTGCCTGTGCCAACTAGGGATTTTGGAAGTTGTAGGTCAGAGCATCTGGAGGACTATAAATTGCCCACCACTATAATGATAAGATGGCATCCACCCCACTGCTTCAACGTACTATTGTTCTGCTCCCATATTCCCCTCATGAAGGGCTTAATTGTTCAACCCTCTCCAACCTGATGCTCTCCTGATGCTTTGGACTTCCACAGGCCTAGCCAGGATAGCTGATGATCTGGAATTGTCACCCAAATCATTTGGAGGCCATCAGGCTGGGAAAACAGCTGTAGACAAACTGGAGCAAATAATTTCGCCAAGGGAAAGAAAAGCCCCAAGACTGTCCATGCAATCCCATTCTCAGAAAAAAGTCTAAAGACCAATTCAAAACATTGTATTTACAACATTTTGGAGCACAGACAAGTCAGTTTACATTCTTCTAATATAAATGGCTGAATGTATAGTTGCTACTAAGTTAAAAAGACACAAATCCAAGTGTTACAATATATTTTTTAATTTTTATAAATAACTTATCTGTTACAAAGACAGTTTTACCCAGCTAAATCACAAAACCATCAACTCAAGATATCCAAATTAGGTTTTATTAATAAAACAGGTAAAAATTGATTTGTCAATCTTCACATAGAACTGCAGATGAAGCTGAAAAACAATGCTTCTTTTTTATAAACAAAATGCATTCAATGCAAGAACTTTGCATCTACAGTCTAATTACTTGGGTCATTTAATTCCCACATTTAAAAATGCAAAGTCTTTAAAATAAAGGCCTTTGTGTATTCACATAGATCACTTGTAAAATTCCTGTTAGAAGTGTCCACTGGCATTTATATTTACAGTGGGTGACAGTCTACTTTCTCTCTTGCTACATTTAGGCTGCAATCCCAAACTCACTTCCTTAGAAGTCCCATCGACATCAATGGAACTTGCTTCTGAGTAGACATGTATAGGATTGCACTGTTGATCACTCCCTTCTGCTTCATCCTAAGAGATGCTACATTATCTTGTAGTATGCAAGAGAACATATGTAAAACACATATTGGCTTCAGTTATGTTTTTCTGACCACTTGAATGCTTAAAACACAGAGGCCTATGGAAATAAAGAGATGCTTGGTATTGCTTCAGTATTCAAGTCTGCTTGGTTTCTCTCTCCCTGCCTGTATTTCAGTTTGTTCTAATTATTGCTATTCTCCACCAATTCAGATTTAGAAACAGGCTGTCAATTACTGACAGCATTACTATGTTATGCCACTGCTGCTGTTTTGTGTACTGTAGGTACTTCCCCAGCAATTACCTCCTGAAGAGTTTTGCAAGATATCCAGCAAATGAAGCAAGCATATTCAGATGCTGATCTGCTGGTGGGCTAAACATATTTTAACTTTGGTTTTCTTGTGTCAGGCAAAATATTATGTCACCCACCGTAAAAATCAGGGTACCGAGTGAACTATACGCATAAACTCCAACTTTTCCTGCATTTTGCAGTGCTGCATCTGCAGGTCTTCACAGATTATCAGCATTTACAAGAGCAACATACAGAATAGGCAGTGGAGAGCTATTTTGTGCATTGTTTATCTTTAATGCTCCTATTTTAAGGCACTGCTTCTTTCAGATCAAAACTTTAAAAAAGGGGGTCATGATCGTGCGTAATCACTTAAAAGGAAAAAGAAAGTTAACAAAGACCATTACACTATACATTAAGAGGTACAAGAAATAATAAAAGGTGAAGAAAAGTAAGTCACTTAAAGCAGGCTCTAGAGCTATGTACAGTAGGAAAAGTTTTGGGGGTATTTCACTGTGAATATTGTACAGACAAAGCATGCAGTTTTCTTTTTCATCTTCAGACGATTGTACTAATTTGCATCTTCACAGAGCAGAACTGTTTTCCAGGAAGACAAGGTGAAGAGTACCACTAATTTGAGAAGTTCTACAATCCACGGGCCCTACGTGGCAGCAAACAGTTAAACACACCTTCAATTTCTTTCATTCCATTTCCACCGTGAATGTAGTGTTTCACTGAAAGCTTTACAAACAACAACAAAAAAGCTATCAATCTAATTCCTTCCCTTGTCAAAATTCAGTAGTGACATTTGTGGAGAAAGGCAGTTGGGGAATACCCAAGCACGGAAAATGGTGAGAGTTACTGGGGTTCTGGTAATACTGTACATGATTCAGGCAGCTGGCTACTGAGTCTTTCAAGGAGATTACCTTCCAGCCAATGAATTTCAGCTGCCTGCAGCACAACACTGAGGTATTATCTCTGTAGCATGACATTTAACATTAGTAATAAAACTTGTCACACATTCAATTTTACAAAATCCTATGCATAAATGATTATTTATCCCAAGGAAATGACACAATAGTCAAAGGTTGGATTTACAGAAGATAAGTGAGCCTCCCTGGCTCAAAAATGCCTTGGCATTTCACACTGTTCACAACGGTTTAAAGCGGGATGATTTAAAAAAGTACAAGCAGTACAACTCCACTGAGCTCCCTCATCTTCCTCTGTATCTGGTACAGTCTTTGGTGTTTTGACAATGGACCTTTGATCTGCTGGGGTGAAAAGAACAATGATTATTAGGAACAGCAGAAGAGACTGAATTCTATGCACTCTTTCCCAGCTTTGTATGTAGCAAAATTGTGTATTAAATGTTGGAACAGTATGCTAATTCTTTCAATGGTTATGTTTTTAAAATGACAGTTCACCTGAAAAATGATTCTTACCCCTACACTTTAGTCTAAGATAACCCCTCAGTCCCTATGTTTCAAAAGTGAGCAGAAATTAAGTGATCCAGGAGGTACAAAGGACAACTCCCTCATGTGTCCATGTGTAAGTGACAAACAAGAGAGACAATGAACACATACAGTAAATGGATACTAGTTACTTGCATACTACAGAGCTTTGATAACTTGATGAAGTGATGCTAAATAGGTTCAAATAATGCTTTAATTCCAGAGATAAGTTAACTCGGAGAGTAAAAAATTCCAGTAGTACCTTTGGGCTTTGGTGGCACAGGACCTAGAAATCCAATATTGTCATAAAAATTATGAATGGCACTGGGATTAAAATGTGGTCCTGAAAAAAAAGGAAACAGCACAATGAAAGGAAAAGTTAGTGCAAAAGCTACATTTGGAGTGGGAAAACAAGCCAATTTTACATTACCACCTTGCTGCCAACTCCTTCACTAGCTTGTAGCATTTGTGGTGGTGAGAGAAGAGTAACATTAAAATGTATTTTTCCTATCCCAATTCTGAAGCTGCTTCAGAAGAAAGGGCACTTTCTCTTCACACAGGGTCCCTTTTGATGGTGGCTAGTATCTATAATGAACAGTCACAGCTTTGCTTCCAAGTAAAGGCATTTTAGCAAGGCATCCTCATGAGCATAAGCCCTGCCCTAAGCTTTGTTTTGTTAGTCATCTTAGCATGCGACTGCATCGTGTGAACTATACTCTTAAGTTTCTCTTAGTCCTCAACTGATTTTCTTCCTTACCCATATTTGTAGTCTTGATCTTTTAGACACAAAGATTCCCAAAATTAACAGAGACCAGGGAAACATGCATCCCCACAACACCTGAAGCTTGGGTGTTTTGGTTGTTGTCATGAAAATTGTCAACAAAATCAAACCAATAAATTAGCCATCACACTCTGTATTCTATAATCCTCAAACCTTCAATGTTATTTACCTGAATAGGCAAAAACATTATTCATACTGAAAGTACAGTACCTCTAGCTTGAAATAGATCAATCTCTTTGGTTAGGCAATCTATGTCTATCTGAAGCTGTCTGTTACAACTTCTTAACTGCTGCATTTCTTCAAGCTGGAAAACATAGAACAATGCTGTCTATTAGATTATTAATTTAAGGTCTAGGACAACAAAACTTAGGAACAGGTTGAAAATGGTATGCCACTCATGCCATCATCACATCCCCTAAAGGCACAAGAAAAGGCTATTAATTCACATAAGGTGGCTCCTCTAGACTAATTAAGTATTTTGGAATTTAAACCAGTTACTAGACTGACCAGAAAACTATCTCCTGATATAAGGAAAATAACATTAATTTCTCCTAGTTGACAGACTTAGAAGATATAGATCTCTGAAGATAATGTGCTGCATTTCTTTTTCCTCCTTTTCCTAGCTGACTGACCTAAGAATAGTCAAATGCAGACTAGGCTTGATAATACCAAAGATGGCAGTTGTCTGTGAAACTTTTGAAACTAACAATTGAAAATATTATTATTTGAGTTTCTAATTATTCTCACAGTTTTAAGAATGCCCTTTCTTTGTGTGTATAGGGTACCTGGCAAACAAAGTGTATTTTCAATATGACTTACTGACGGAATTTGGGAAATAGAATTTGATCTTTTCAGCCGCCTTCGTGTTAGATTATTCTCCATTTCATTGACCTCCGATTTTAGTTTATCCAGCTTTTTCTTCTGAACCTCAAGTTCTCGTTGAAGCCGTTCCATCCTTGCCTTCTGATGTACTAATAAGGCTGTAACATATTAGAAGAACACTTTAACCAATTTAGTGTTCTCTTCGCAACTTCATTTAACAAACTGCAGTTCTAAGATAAACAATTCCATGAGAATTTTGTCCCATATTAAACTTTGAATGACAAAGATCCCATATGTTTTTGTTAGAGTACACAGTTATCAATGATATGATATCCTATAAGAGACAACCCCATATAATACTTACACATGTACAACTAATGATTTGGTTGGTGGTTTAAAATCAGCAGATAAAGTCTAAACACTTCCTACTTTTACTTCCCTAGTTAACTTCCTTGTTAACAGTTACTATAACTTCCTACTTCCCCGATCTGCCTTCTGATGAACCATCAGAACTAGCAATGACTGATCAAGAAGGGGATTGCGGGGTGGTCGTTGGACAGCTTAGTGAAAATGGCAGCCAGTGCACATCTGCTTATGCCAGTGGAAAACTCCATGTTGGCCATAATTAGGAAAGGAACTGAAAATAAAACCACCAAGACCATACCCTCCTTATACAAACCCTTGCTGCAAATGTTCTTGGAATATTGTGTGCAGTTCTGGTTGCTGCACCTGAGAAAGGACATTACTGAATTGTACAAACTGCAGAGAAGATCAGATACAGTGATGAACGGATTGGAGCAACTACTCTATGAGGAATGGTTACCAAAACTGAGATTCTTCAGCTTAGAAAAAAAAAAGTTAGCAAAGGAAGATATTCTAGAGGTACCTAAAGTCATGCATGCTGTGGAGAAAGTGGAGGAGGAGACATTTCTCTCCCTCTCTTCCATAATAATAGAACCCAGGGTCATCCCATGAAGCTTATGGGCAGGAAGTTCAGGACAGATAAAATGTACTTCATACAGTGCTGGAATTCACTGCCACAGGAAGTAGTGATAGCCCTCAATCTGGATGAAAGGGGATTGGGCATATTCATGGAGAAATCTATCAATGGTTACTAGTCTTGTTGACTATGTGCTACCTCCGTTATCAGAGGTAATATGCCTGTGTACACCAGTTGTTTAGGAGTTGAGGCAGGCAGAACACTTCTACCCATTCTGCTTGAAAGATCAGGCAGTTGTTTTGCCACCCTGTGAATTCAGTGCTAGATTGGGTGAACCACTGATCCATGTTCTTATTCTTATCCTCTGACTGAGGCTCTACCAGCCTATTTCCTTCACCTCTTGTCTCTTCATATCAACTTTCTTCACTTTTTTGCCCATCATTTTCCAATGCACTGCCTAGTTCTCAGTATACTGCCTTACTCTTCCTTGGTACAATGTTCCTTAACTATACTACCTCATGCATTTTCCACTAACCATTTCAGGTCACAGCTTTCTTGTTCAACTACCCAATCCCAGTTCCTATCAAGAGTGCACAGTTAATCTGGCTCTAACTGCTGTCCAAGTCTCTCTCAGTTAAAATAAATATTGAAAATACTGATTTCCAGCACTGCTTCTCAGACTCTTTCCTATTAGCAATGAAAATATCAGTCACAGCCATATGTGGTGTTGGGTGGGGAGCTTGCCAGGGAAAGACTACTTTTTGCTTAACTGTATATACAAAGTATTTTCTTACATGATCCTTCGCTTATTTATGCTAAATATTTAGCAAGTTCTTTCATTTGGTACAACTGATGTAAAATCCAAACAACTTTTTGGAACTATTAAATTGTTTTCAAATAAATTTGTTGTTGCTACTGTTTAAATTTAAGCTGTCTCTGCTTCAAACCAACAACACAAGCCTTATTGTTACTGTGAACAACTTATTTGAAAACCATATCCTGTTCAAGGGCAATATTCCTGCTGTGCTGAGCTCTTGTAGCTCAAAAGAAAACTGGAATTCAGAAGCCTAACAGTATAAACTTTAAACTCATCACTGATCAAAAGAACTATAAAAGCCATTTTATGAAAAAGAAAAACTTTTAATCAATTCAAAATTCATTGAATTTTCAACTAATTCGTTTTGTTCCAATTATTGTATTGTTTTATTTAAAATCACTCTCTTTTAAAAACTCTGGTTAATGCTCAGGTGTTATTTCAGTATACATTTGTAAAAGTAACTGTACCCATCAAGCAATTTTATTTTAAATATAAAATCCAATTAAATGGTAAATTAGACATATGTAGCTTGGTTACTAAAAGCAAGTAAAATACAAACTCAATTATGGGTTCCTACTGAACGAGCTGACACCTAGTGAATAACTGCAGCTGCACGGAATGTGGCCAGATTCTCAGATTTGGCCAAATGTAATGTTACATACAGCTGATATAGAGATTTATAGTACATGCAGCACATCCTGACTGCTTCTTATGCCATGATTCAGAATCATTAGCATACAAATCCTTATAAGTAGTTGATGAGAATCAGAAGAAATAATGAAACCTAACCTGTACAAAAGACAAGTACCTGAACACAAAATAATTTGTAGGTTGATGCATGCATCTATTGGCACAAGTTTTAAAAATACTGTTTAAGAAGACATGTTATTGCTTTTAGTCTACAGCTTAATAAATATTAAAAACTAATCTATCTTAAGGTAGAAATATATTACAATATCTTTGTTTGCTATGAGAAAGGCAATTTAGTGCCACTAATAACACTGGTTGAGTTTTTGCCCCTCTCAACCTTCAACGAAATAAAGGATTTTACTCTTACAGGTGCATGAAAGTATATTGTTAGCTGCCTAGGAAGGCCTTGGCAGTTATAGATGGCCTATAAATACACGTATAAATAGTCAGTCAGTCAGTCTAAAAATGAGATATGAAGGTGAGTTATGATAGGAATATGCCTATTTGAAATATGATTTTGAAGTTTTATCATTTTGACAGGACCCTTATTTATCCAGAATCAGTGTCTTGAATTAATAGAAGAGGAAATAAGTTTCTGAAATGGGGATCACTTTTTTCAGGAACAACACACATTTTTAAAGGGTTTTTGGGAACCTTATCGTTTGGCAAACAGCAGCAGCAGGCACTCTTTTAAAACTCAGATTAAGATGCAACTCTTTTCTGAAAATGCCATTCCATCCCCACTCACCTTGCCCTGCATAATGCCAAATATTGTTGGGGGATAGTTCAAGCTGCCATTTTTCCACCACAATACTAAGTACAAATCTGTCCTCAGGACACCCTGGGGAATAAGTGGTAGTAACTGAGAGAAACTCCATAAGTGCTAAAAGAAAAGAAGTTACTGCTGCCAATGAATAATCTACCTACAATAAATCCTTGCAAGAAGTACCCCCAGAAAATAATCAAAATGGTCTACTTACTAATGGGGTAGCTATTTTATACAGGCGTTTTAGTTTAACATTATCTAAAATAAGCTGACCTCAAGTTGCCCACTATAAGGTAAAATGCTTCCAGTTCAAATGGAAGGCAGCACTTGTGTCCACATTAGTGTTCTGAAAGAATCTACCACATGTATTTGGGACTTAATGGCATGTCCCGTAGCTGCTGTTCTGATGCGCTGGTTACTTTGGGAGGAGAGCCCATTTCTCCCTTATTTATTTTAATATTGCAAACATCAGTGAGCAAGTGCATCTTCACAGTTGATCCACAGTAGCATGATCTAAAATATAATTTAACATATAACCACTTCAGAAGCACTCTACTGATTTCTTGGCTCCCACAGAAAGTTATGTCCAAGAAATGCACCATCGAACAGTGGTGTTCTAGACTAGAAAGGGTTCCTTAATGAGAAATTAAAACATCAGTAATGGCAGACAAGCTCCCTGAAAGAAAGTGTGTTCACCATCATTGCTCATCACTACAGTGCACCAGTAAGGCAGTGCACAATGTGCCTAATGGCACATTCTCAGTTCATGTGAAACAGCAATGAGAGCCAATAGTCAGGATCCAACCTACCCCTTGTATGAACATATCTCAAAACCTTCTACACAGTGCTGGACAGGTGTATGTGGAAAATGCTTTTTGAAAATGCAAAGTCTGAAAGCAACTGTTAAGCATTATCTACTGTATCCAAGTAAAAATAATAAAATTTATTAATAACTATGTTTGGGTACACCCTTTATTTATGCATGGCACTTTAGTTTAAATCCACCCTACAAGAGGGCTTACATATTCAGGCAAGAAAATGTAAGTGAAGTCAATGGTAACTTGCTCCTACTTGCCCAGTCACAATTCTAGGAAAGCCTTCTCTGTTAAATGAGTTATCACCACGGCTGCTGGAGTAAGAGTTAACTATTTGGAAAAGGGGCAGATTTATGAATTTAGAAATAAAAATCAAGGTATATGATTACATGATGCTAAGCATCGTAACACTTCTTTTACAATTCTCTCCTCTGTTACATATAAAATGCTAGTTTCTTTGGTCCTGCTGTCTGTACCACAGCCTGATTTCCATGTAGCAGTGACCTGGAGACAGGCCTCCCCACCCTATAGAATGCTTTTTGCTCTGCCATACATCAGGTCTCAGCAGTGGCATGTTTCAGGGATTAAGTGAAAATGCATGGTCATGATACATGAAACATGACTTTTTGACAATTTTTTTCTTTTTATTCTTTTGTAGACCAGTTCAGGATTTGGTTCAAATGACAAGTGGTATATAAATATTACTACTAATCACATTTTAAAAATTAATGTTTCCTACAGAGTAGAATAGGACTGTACTGCATACAGAAATTAGTTGAAGGCTCTTTCAGAGAAAAACTACTATTGAATGAAAGTCACAAGTTCATTTTTTCAGATAATTTACATGTATATTAGGGGTAATGAGTTGCGCAAGATCAAGGCTGGGAAATATCTAACCCTAACCTCGCCAACCTGCTGAGGTCCCATTCTGTTTAGTAATGTTACTTCTTCCCCCCTCCTTTTTTTTAATGGTCTCTCTCTAAAGCTTCTATCTCTTATGGCTATGGTGGAAGCACTGAAATTGAAGACGTCAATAAATAAGAAAAGCTCATATAAACAAATGCTTTATCATGCTGGCTCCTGTGTAAATTTAGAAAATTACAGATACAGGCCGCATGGAGAGCACGGAG